TGGGGTGTTATGAACATAAAAACAAATCGACTAAATTTTTTTTGGCGTAGAAATTTCATTTAAACAAGTAACCAATGCAAAGGAATCGCGTCCATAGAACCGGCTAGAATAGAATAAAAACAAAATGGTACACAATAAACCACCTTATCACTTTGTATTTTAACTACTTTCTCTTATTCCCCTCACGATTCACGTTTTTATATACATATACAAGTGTACATGTGCTAATAAACGAATATTTTTTAGTACTAGTTTTGTTTCTATCGTTAAAATCTCATCCACAATTTGATGAATCTCGAACGTTATTAGCTCCCAGAATATCCTCTTCAATGGGGTTACCAAACGAAAAGGTTTAAATACAAAGAAAATGAGTTTTGAGACGCACATGACGTAACCATAAAAAATGACAAGCACATACATAAAGAAAATGGATTTTGCATTTTGTTGACCATTGAGAGCTAAGATCTTACACAATTAACTGTATTAATGTATGAATTGATAATATAGTGTTTTGTTATTCTGTGAGGAGTACTTGAAGATACACCCAAAAGAAGTATTTAAAAATACCATGTCTTAGTAAACCATATTAAACAAAGTTTAGAAAACTTTCATAAATACTAATGCTTTCCTAAATTTTCAGAAAGAAATGTGATGTTCTTAGAATTTTATTTATTCTGTCTTGTCAGTTTTATTTTAACAATGTGTATATTTATATGCTAATTTAAACGTAAATTAATAAATTTATTTATTTAGAAATAAACTAGTTGTAGTAAAAATCTATATATATTTTTTTTTATTTTCTTACACCAAACTAAATTTCAATTAAAAAAAAAAAAAAAACTAGTAAAAATTAAAGGTCAAATAAAGAGGGAAAAGCAAAGGTTTGAAAATTTTGAACCTCAATGTAGGGCTGTGATGAGTCGCGACAAAATCAAGTACTGCCACGTGGCATATTGCTTCACGTACACGTAGCTCTCTCATAAACCCACCTCAAAACTCAGTCATTTCGTTGCGGTCTTCTTTCTTCCCCAAAATCAAAAGCTTTCGTCGCCAGAGAAACCGTCACGACCACCGGAGGTCTGTTCGCTTTTTTTCTCCGATTATTTTCTTCGTCTCTTGTATGATTGTACTGTTTTTGCTTTAATGAAAGAATATACTAAAGCAAATTCTGCTGATTTTTTGTTTCTTCGTTGTCTAGGGATTTTTGTTGGTGCTCGTTATGTCTACGGAACCAGAAGGAGTCGAATCTGACTCTAACACTGATTTTTCCGTGAATGCGTCGAGGTTTGACAACGGAGTGGCTCACACATCTGAAACCCTAGCTGATCCCATGAGCTTTCAAGCTCAAGACCTGGTAGTGAAGCTCACTGAAGTTGAGCGAAAAGGCTTTGTCTCTGCTCGTGGTGATAAGGATAGTCTCTGTAATGGGGTTGATTATGATGCAGAATCTGGGGATTTTGGTGAGAACAGAAACCTAGATGGCTCAGGAGAGAAAGAATCAAAGTTTGAGAATTTAGATGGTGTGGTTTTAGCTGGTTCAGATCTGCTTAAGAGCAAGGATAAGAATGGTTTTGCTGATGAAAATCTGAAGCTTTTTGACTCAGATTTGGTTTGGGCTAAAATAAGAAGCTATCCATGGTGGCCTGGACAGGTGATTGATGCATCTGTTGCATCTAAAGCTGCGAAGAAGCATTTCAAGAAGAAAGGAAATCTCTTGGTTGCGTATTTTGGGGATTGTACTTTTGCTTGGAATAATGCATCTCAGGTAAAGCCTTTTCATCAGAATTTCTCTCAAATGCAGGAGCAGAGTAATTTGGCTGAGTTTCGTGATGCTATTGATTGTGCTTTGGATGAGGTTTCAAGGAGAGTAGAGTTTGGTTTATCTTGCTCTTGTGTTTCAGTGGAAGCCTATAACAAACTCAAGACTCAGAACATAATCAATGCTGGAATTCGTGAGGACTCACGTGTTAGATACGGTGGAGACAAGTTATCTGATGCAATCTCTTTTGAACCTGCGAAACTTATGGATTATATGAAGCGTTTAGCTTGCTTTCCTAGCTATGATGCGACTGCGAAGCTGCAATTTGTGATAAACCGAGCTCAGGTATTGGCTTTTCAACAATGGAAAGACTATTCTCCCTTCATTGACTATGAAACATTTCTAAGGTCGGTAGAATCTGCTGCGACCTTAGCTTCTCTCCCGGAAGCAAATATGCATGAAGGAATATCTTTCAAAAAGAGAAAGACATATTACAAAGATAATGCTGAACAGACAAAGGAGAAAGCTTTGTCGGATTTGATTGTAAAGAAACGCTGTGGGAGCAGATCAACTGAGAAATTGGATGGTAAGTCGCATTCTGAAAAGAAGCGTAAGGTTGAGTCTTCGGAATCTGGTAAGTCTGAGAAAAAGATCAAGAACAACCAGCAAAAAGAGGATTCAGTGTGTGATGCTAATAAACTGCAGAAAGTGGCTGAACCATCTCACGGAATTGGAGTGGAAAATGATATGAATTCTTTAACTCCTACACTTAAGCCTTGCAGTGATTCTAAATCTACGGAAGTTGAGAATGAGAAAACAAAGAAGCCGAGACCCGAAGAGCTTGCTGAAAGAAAGATTTCTTCTCCTGATGAGATGCTCTCGAGCCTTCACGCTGCCACCCCAACAGGGGTACCCGATTCAATCAGCATAGACCCCTTGAACTATATAGATTTTGAACAGTTCATTAATGAACTATCTTGCAGTAAACTCAATGATGACTCAAAGAAGGCAAGTATCACTGAAACATCAGAACCTTGTGTTCAAAAAGACTCTGCAGAGGAGATCTTACCTGCAAATAAAGAAATAACTGGCTCAGGCTCGAAAGAGCAAACTGGTCTCAAGGACTGTTCTGCAGATTCATCACCTTATGCGTTAGTCCTCAACTTTGCGGATTCAGGTTTGGTTCCATCTGAAGAAAAGCTGAACGAGATATTTAACCGTTATGGTCCTCTCCATGAGTCGAAGACTAAGGTCACGAAGAAGGGCAAGAGAGCCAAAGTTGTGTTCAAAAGAGGGGAAGACGCAAAGACTGCCTTCAGCAGCGCCGGGAAATACAGCATCTTTGGACCCTCTCTTCTAAGTTACAGACTCGAGTATGTTTGCCCCAAAGCGAAAAAGAGCAACAACATGACTGATTGATACACATCGTAGGCATCTCTTAACTTTCAGAGGTTAGGGTCTAATCAGAGTACGTCAGCTAGGTTTTATGATGAGAGTAGATTTTCGATAAATAAAAGTAACAATCTTGTGTTAAGACTAAGATTATAAGTTCGGTAGTGATTGTTGAATCTTAATTACTTATGAGTTATTATGAACAACAAAAGCAAGACTGGCTGGATATGGTAACAACAACTGAAGATGAGACTTAAAATAGTAGATTGATTAAACACCAATAATATTAAACGATCATGTCTGAACTCAAAAACTCATTGAAAGTAACACATCAAGTTCTTGAATCTTAAAGTAGAACAGAACAAAGAGTTTAAACTGAACTATCAAAATCCATTACAAAAGCTTGAAGCTCTGTATGGGTTGTTTAAGATCTTGGCTTCTCCTTCTTTTCCTTGAAGAGGGCCAAGAGTGAAACACCAGAAACCTTCACGACCTTGAACCTAACTCCAGGAATATCTCCCACAGCATGACCCTTACGACCAAATCCAGCAATCAAGACCTCATCCTGCAACAACATTAACAAGAAATGATTCAACACATGAAAGAAACACCAATCCACGGTGTGATGATTGGATATACAGAGGCATTTCATGTGACTTACGTTTTCTTCGATGTAGTTCAAACAACCATCATTGGGGACAAAGGCAGCAATCTTCTTTCCATTCTTGATAAGCTGAACTCTAGCACACTTACGGATAGCAGAGTTAGGCTGCTTAGCCTCAATACCGCTGCACAATAAAACACAAAGAGTCAAAATGCTATACTCAAAAAACCATTAATAAAATCAAATTTATGTTTTGACATACATTTTCTCAAGGACAATTCCTTTAGCGTGAGAAGAACCAGCAAAAGGCTTCTTCCATTCATTTCCCAAGTGAGACTTCTTGTACTGCTTGTCAGCCCACCTCTGGTTGATTCGGAGTCTCTTCAGCTTACGCCCAGCTCCCATACCACGTGTCTTACTGTTAACATTTCATCACAAAATAACGTTTCAGAACTTCATTCGATAAACTATAGTTGAAACTCAGACCACCAATAAGCCAATTCATCCAAGTATTAACAATAAGATAGAACATTTCTCTCTACTACTTCATCAAGAGTGAGATTCAAAAACCAAGAACATAAATAATCAATTAAGAGATAACTAAATCACAAGTTTTCTACCACACTAGAACTCCAGATTAGCTCATATCTCTTTAGTGTATACAAACATAAAAACCATGTAGCAAACATATCCAGAAATGAAGACGAATTGCTGATAGAATCAGTCCCAATCAAAAACCATAAGTAAATATTCGAATAATGAAACCATTTCCAACAATAAGAAAAAACACAGCAGACTCTATAAAATCCTCTACAATTCATGGAAACAACAAATGAATCAGATCAATAAACCGGTAAAAGAGAGAAATGAGATAGGAACACGAAGGATAGATCTAAGAGAGGAGATACGTACCCCATGTTTGTTGATGGAGGAGAAAGATCAACAGCAAAGAGGTATTTGCAGGAAGCACAGAGATGATAGCTCTTAAGCGGCTGAGAAAACCCTAAACCTAGTGAAGGCAGTGACTCTTAATATATGCGATTTTGGTATACCTGAGCGGATTTATTATACTTGGCCCATTAATTATAGGCCCATCAAAACATGGGCTTCTAATATCGTTGGATCTAATGGACGGTATAGATGACTTACACGTATACGCCCGTGCTAATAATACCCCACCATACCTACACCTCCCGCCACGTCAGCATAACCCGTAATCCTTACGGAACCGGCTGTAACAGGTAAAAGAAACACACAAAGAGTGAACTGCCCGCACGACACTCACTGGCTCAGCCGGTCCCCACCACTTAACCGTCGATACCACGACAGACCGACGTGGACAAATCAGAACCGTTTATTTCAAAAAGGCAATTCTGATCCAGTGGTCCATGTTTTTTTAATGCGCCAGCTAAAGAGGAAGAGAGAGAGTCAAAAGAAAGAAAGCTCCAGAATCTCGTCAATGGCGGACTGGGTTTTTTCACCTTAGCCAGTCAAATCAAGGAGGCGATGGAGAATAATGAAAAAAAAAGTTTAGCTGAAGAATAAATTGAAGATTTGAATCAAACCATTAGTCTTGTGTCTAAGCTGTTTCTACGTCATTTGGTAAGACAAGCTTTTGTCTCCTTTCGCTTTCTTTATGAAAAAAAAAAGAGAGATATGATTCGTTATTCCAATTTTATTTTCCAAGTTTTTTAAAATAAAAATGGTGAGCTTGAATTTCACGCTATGTAAAAGTGTCACTCGCAGCTCATTTCTCTCTCTGATTCTTTATATAAATGAATGTACAGGTTTTGCTGTGAAGTGTTGGTTCGGATTTAGGTTCGGATAAGGAAGATGGAGGAGATTAGAGGAGTGCCTACGTGGCAGGAGGAGTTAGCGAGTCTCGTCGACGCCGGATTACGATACGACGGAGCACCGATCGATTTAACGGCGGCTACTGAAATCGGGTCAAAGAGATCGGGTTTTGTGTCGGCGGATGGATCCGGATCCGAACCGAAGGAGACATTGAAAGATCAAGTGACGGGATTCATGAAATCTTGGGGAGAGATGCTTCTTGAGCTCGCGAAAGGATGCAAGGACATTGTGCAGCAGACGGTGGTGACTGAGGACTCATTCGTAGTACGGAAGCTCCGGAAACCGGCGGCTAAAGTGTCGAAGAAGCTTAGCTTTCTAAACGAATTCTTGCCTGAGGATCGTGATCCGATTCACGCTTGGCCTGTGATTTTCTTCGTCTTCCTCTTAGCACTCGCAGGTAATCAATTAAGTAGATTGTGTACGTTAGCTTAGTATTTGTGTGTAGTTCATAATCTCCTTCACAGTATTCGAGGAATTTCTTGGCTCGGCGATGTTTTGGTCGTCTATAGTTAACTCATTTCTGCTTACATGTAGCTAAATAGCAGTATTATTAGAGTTAGTGCAAAGGTTTGAGTCCTTGCATTGACATATTCAACTTTGAAGTGCAGCATTAAGCTTTAGTCCAGAGCACGATAGACCAGTGACAGTGATAAAGAAACTGCGTTTACATCCTACCGGTGCTACCCGTGTACAGCTTCCAGATGGTAGATATATAGCTTACCAAGAGCTAGGTGTTTCAGCAGAAAAAGCAAGATACTCTTTAGTTACGCCCCATTCTTTTCTTTCCTCTCGACTTGCAGGTATTCAAATTATTTTTCCATCGGTTTTAGTTACTTCCCATTACGTTTTGTTTGGCTCTAATGTTTGGAATTTACTTAATGAAGGCATACCTGGAGTGAAGAAATCATTGCTTGTGGAGTATGGTGTCCGTTTAGTGTCATATGATCTTCCAGGGTTTGGAGAGAGTGATCCTCATCGAGGTCGAAACCTTAGCTCAGCAGCCTCAGATATGATTAACCTAGCAGCTGCTATCGGAATTGATGAGAAATTCTGGTTACTTGGCTACTCTACTGGTAGTATGCATACATGGGCTGCAATGAAATATTTTCCTGGGAAAATTGCAGGTATTAACAATGTTCCTATACTGCTTTATACTTTTCTAATCATTAGAATACCAGTCATGGTTTTGCTACTGTGATGGCTTTAAAAATGCAAGACTGCTGCTCATTGGGTTTGGTTTTGTGAAACTACAGGAGCTGCAATGGTGGCTCCGGTGATTAACCCCTATGAACCAAGCATGGCCAAGGAAGAGATGGTAAAAACATGGGAGCAATGGCTAACAAAGAGGAAATTCATGTACTTTTTAGCACGGCGGTTTCCTATTCTTCTTCCTTTCTTCTACCGTAGATCTTTTCTCTCTGGTAAACTCGATCAGCTCGATGAGTGGATGGCATTGTCATTAGGAGAAAAGGTACTAAATCTCGTCCATTGTAGATCACAAAGAGAGGAATTCTCTAGGAGAAAGAGTGATCATATCTGCTAACTCTGTTTTCATCTTGCAGGATAAACTTCTGATCAAAGATCCAACGTTTCAAGAATTTTACCAAAGGAACGTTGAAGAATCCGTCCGTCAAGGAATCACAAAACCATTTGTAGAAGAATCCGTGCTTCAAGTATCGAATTGGGGCTTTACTCTTTCTGAATTCCGCACACAGAAGAAATGTACAACCAATGGTGTCCTTTCTTGGCTCATGTCAATGTACAGTGAAGCTGAATGTGAACTAATCGGATTTCGAAAACCCATTCACATATGGCAGGTAAGTTCTGCACCATAAAATGCATAGTTTATTTAGTAATATTCAAGTTAATCAAACTGTTTTGTGTATGTTAAGATAGTTTGATTTTTGTTTCTTTAAAGGGAATGGAGGATCGAGTGGCGCCACCGTCAATGAGTGACTACATCAGCAGAATGATTCCTGAAGCAACTGTACATAAGATTCCAAACGAAGGTCACTTCTCGTTCTTCTATTTCTGCGATGAGTGCCACAGACAGATTTTCTATGCTCTATTCGGAGAACCCAAAGGCCAGCTTGAAAGAGTAAAAGAAACAAAGGACACTCTAGTGGAAACAGAGGCACATATGGACACTTATTAGTACTAATACAACCACCAAAAAAAAAGTAAAGAAGTAAAAAAAAAAAAAAGGTGGAAATTAGCTATAGCTAGAAAATCAAAAACTAGATATTTTTTGTTTCAGATTTTATAGGGTTACACCAAGCAGAATTTTATACTAGATGGCATTTTACATCCCAAAGGATATGTAGTTAAAGATGATTTATCAATGGTTATGATAGTACTACTAGATTCGGAAAATAAAATTACAAAAGAAGAAGACAGATATGGAAGTTATAGTAATCATATCATTAAATAAGTGAGCTATTACAAACAACTCTTTTGCCGGCTATCTTGCTCAAGCAACCTTATATGCAACCTTATTATATTTCGTTGTTATTCTCTTGGGTCTTGCATGAACTTTCCCATACTAGGAATGATGAATAAATGTTTTTAGACGTTTGCTTTTGCATTCACCGCCTAGGAAATAAAAAGTTAATTATATAATAACCGTAATAAAAGTTTAAAAATTAATTAAGATATTCTCAAATTATCCTTGTTAAAATATCACAAATTCCCCACAATATCATAAGAGATCTCAGATATTTTCTAAAAAAAAGATTATTTAATAAAAGCATCTGAAATCTAGGCGTAGTTATAACTTGAAGGTGCTACATAAACCCTAAATCATCTGAGAGATCGAAAAATGAAAACGGAAGAGATGAAGGAATCATCAGAGGCTGATCCTCCTCCTTCTCCGACGTCGTTTTCTTCGTTACCATACGACATCATTCTCAACTGTTTGGCTCGTGTCTCGAGATTCCATTATCCAACTCTATCTCTCGTCTCCAAGGGTTTCCGATCTCTCATCGCCTCCCGTGAGCTCTACGCTACACGATCCCGCATCGGAAAAACCGAGAGTTTCCTCTATATCTGCTTAAACCTGACTAAGAACCAAAACCCTAAGTATCGCTGGTTCACACTTCCCCCAGTTCCCAACAACCAGAAATTACTACCCATCCGTTTGTTTCCTTATCATCTCAAATCCTCAACCGTCATCTCAACTGGTTCAGAGATTTACAGAATCGGAGGCCTCCTTTGGGGAAATAGAAACAAGAGCGTGTCGGTTTTTGATTGTCGATCTAATCAATCGCGTAGACTCCCAAAAATGCGTCTACCTCGAGCTTCTGCTGCCGCTCATGTCATTGACGGTAAGATCTATGTTATTGGAGGCTACAAGTACAATGATAGCCAGAACCAAGGAGAGGTTTATGACCCAAAGACCCAAACTTGGGAGCCAATATTGCTCACAACACCACTAGATCTCACCACTCAAGTGTGTCGAAAAGTTTATGACAGGCATGGCATGAATATTTGCTTTGTAGAGATAGACAACTTGTTGTGCCAAATATCTGTATCCGACGGGAAGCTAAATTGGCGTCATCCAAGGGGAGATGATATTGGCTGGGCTAGGGTTAAGAGACTTGAACAGGAACGCTTCGGTAATCATCTTGTTTATGTGGAAAAATCCGGCGGAGGAAGAAGAGTGACAGTGTGGTGGAACTCTGTGGTGTTTCACTATCGGTCTAGGGAATATGAAACAGAGATTTGGTGTGCAGAGATTTCGTTTGAGAGACACGGTTTAGAAGAGCTCTGGGGATTTGTTGAATGGTCTAAAAAAGTGTTTACATTTAATGGATGTGACTCTCCTACGAATTTCGTTATGGATTCTGCCATTGTGACCTGTTGATGAATGGGATTTATTTTTAGTTTTTGAGAGACTTTTAAATTTTTTTTTGAAACACTATCCTAGACTACGAAGAGGGTTACGACCCTGCAAAGACCCAATCTTGGGAGCCATTATTGGATACAACACTAGATCTCACCACTCAAATGAGTGTGGTTCCAGGTATATTGGTTATGGGTGGAAACAGGGCCGGTCCAAAGTTTCAAAATTTTCTTTGATACCCTACGCATAACTAAAAATTTAGGCCGTTTTGTTAATGTAAAAAAAAAAATTCTCCCAAAAAAAATATTTTATAATGTGAGACCCTAAGCGATGGCTTCACTTGCTTGCCCTTCGGACCGGCTCTGGGTGGAAAAGTGTATGTATGCCACTAATGGTTTGAAGCTTAAAACAAATATTTGTTTGGTAGAGAACGTGTTGTGTCTAATGTCGCATTCCAATCACAATCTTTATTGGAACAATCCTAAGGAAGATTTGGTGTGGAGGTTTGTTAAAGCAGGACTTGAAGAACTTTCTCAATATCCATATTTTTAAAAAAATCATAATTCGGCGCTAGCTAACTCCGGCGGAGGAAGAAGAGTGACAGTGTGGTGAAAGTCGGTGGTGATTCACCCTCGAGATCACCATTGCACTAAGGAATGTAAAACGGAGATTTGGTGTGCAGAGGTTTCTTTTGAGAGATGCGGTTTAAAAGAGCTTTGGGGATTTGTTGAATGGTCTAAGAATGTAATTACCTTTGACGGATGTGACTCTCGTTCCGATTTCCTTTTGCATTAAATCCTGCGATTAGCACACATTAATTTATATGTCCAATGATTTTGTTAGGATCATATATAGATGGATCGAGAGGATTTAAGGTTTTCTTTTCTTTTATTTTTAATGGTTTTCTAAGAGAGATTTCATATGTACTACTCCCTATTTCCTTAATAATTTATTTGTTTTTTTTCCTCAAAAGCTTTATTTATTGCATAGCGTTTGAACAAACAAAGTCATAATGTAGAGCTTGGGAAATCGAATAAGGAACCAAATAATGAAAGAAGAAGTTTGCATCTTCAGGGTATTCTCTACTTAGCCATTATGTCAGCTGGCTTGTTGAATTCTCTTTTGATCCAGCTGAAGCGTATTTCTGCTAATTTGTTTCTCCAGAAACTCACTTCCCTTATCCAACTATGAACTTCAAAGTTTGCACTCTCCTTCAGATTTTTTTTTGGATTATGCTATTTTGAAATATTGATCTATGGATTTTGTTTTAGTTTTTGAGAGAGTTTTAGATTTTCTTCGTGAGGATTTTTCTGAACATCTTGAATCTGATTTCAAAAGATAATAAAAAAAATTACATTGGTGTTTATGTATCTCTAAATTACTAAATATCATCCCACCACTTGTGAAAGAGTATATCGTTGGGTTAGGTAATGATCACTTGAACTCTTACGTGAAATAATGTTCTCGAATTTAGACCTTCCACTATATGTCCCTTCGTTTCAATTCTTGTTTCTCAAACAAGATTCGACTATGGGTTTTTCTTTTTATGCGCACGAATTTATTTTGTTCATATTCCTTGCTTGGTAAAGATTTGGATTCTAATGTTGCATATCAATAACACTTCCTAGGTTTGCTTTTTCGAATGCATGTATGAAACCCGTAGTGAGAATATCTCTATATTAAATTATAAAAGTTTAATTATGATATTCTCAAGACTCTCTTTTAAAAATATCACAAAGCCATGTTTATATATCTGAAGAGATCTCGGAAATTTTCCTAAATTATAAATGTTCCCGAAATTTAGGGTTTAGCTTAGTCGTAGCAAACATGCGTTGATGCTACGGAGTAAAATATATAAATAAATTGAAGGTAAAAACGCATCTATATAAAAAATCAAAGCACAAACCCTAAAACCTCCCAGAAAGGCAGAAACAGAACACAATGTTTGCCTCGTGTCTCGAGATTGTTTTTTTCCTTGCCGGAAGACATAATTCTCAATTTTCTTCGTCACCGGACGAAAATGAGACGAAGAAATCATCAGACACTCCTCCGACAGTATTTTTGTCGTTACCCGACGAAATCATTCTCAATTGTTTGGCTCGTGTCTCGAGATTCTATCGTCCATGTCTATCCTTGGTCAACAAGGATTTCCAATCTCTCATCGCTTCTCCTGATCTCGAGGCCACGCGATCCCGAATCGGAGTAACAGAGAAGTACCTTTATGTCTGCTTAGAGTCGAATAAGAACAACCCTAATCCTCGCTGGTTCACACTTGCACCAATTCCCAAACAACAGAAGCTGAAACCTATCCCTTTATTTCCTTATCGACATCCCACATCATCAACTGTTGTCTCTATTGGTTCAGAGATTTACATCATCGGAGGCTTCGTTAAGGGAAGGAGAAGCCAGAGAGTGTTGGTTCTAGATTGTCGATCTCATCAATGTCGTAGACTCCCCAACATGCATCAACCTCGAGTTTCTGCAGCCGTTGATGTCATCGACGGTAAGATCTACGTGATTGGAGGATACAAGTCTAACAATATCGACAATTGGGGAGAGGTTTATGATCCAAAGACCCACACGTGGGAGCCAATATTACCCACAACACTTGATCTCACCACTCAAAAGAGTGTGGTTCCAGGTAGCTTGGTAATGGGTGGGAAAGTCTATGGCATGGTTGGTTTGAAGGTTAACTTGAACCCGAATATTTGTTTGGTAGAGATAGACAACATGATGTGCCAAATATCGGTTTGCAAAGGGATATTACTTTGGTATGATTCAGAGGAAGATTTGGAGTGGAGTAGGGTAAGAGGACTTGAAGGACTGCCCCGTAGTTCATATTTTCCTTGTTATCTTGTTTCGGTTGCAAATTATAACGGAGGAAGAAGAGTGATAGTTTGGTGGAAGTCAGTGGTGTTTGGCCGTCTAGGTCTCAATTGGACTAAGGAATGTAAAACGGAGATTTGGTGTGCAGAGATATCGTTGGAGAGACGCGGTTTTGGAGAGCTTTGGGGATTTGTCGAATGGTCAAACAATGTGTTTACTTACGACGGATGTGATTCTCCTTCAGATTTCTTTCTGCATTCGGCTTTTGTGACTTATTAATTTAGTAGGATGTTTTTTAGTTTTGAGAGAATTTTAGGATTTGTGGGAATTTTTCTTTAACATTGATCAGTTTTGCTTTCGATTATTAAAAGTTTCGTATCAATGAATAATTTATCAGTTCTTTTCTTGCACGAGACTGTCTTTTTTTGTGTGTGAGACCTGACGAGATTGTCTTTGAATTTTAACAAAAACAAAGCGAGGTGATCAAATCACTAGAGGCCCATTTATACGAAGGCCCATAGAACCTTGAATATTAAAAATTGGTTTTGGGTCAAAAAGCTCATAAACAAAAATAGATACATAAACCCTAAATCGAGAACCTCCCAGAATCTTAAGACGACGACGGAAGAGATGAGTAAATCGTCAACAGAGTCTCCGACAACGACGACGTCGTTTTGTTCGTTACCGTTCGACGTCATTCTCAATTGTCTGGCTCGTATCTCGAGATTCCATTATCCAACTCTATCTCTCGTCTCCAAGGGTTTCCGATCTCTCATCGCTTCTCCTGAGCTCGAGACGACACGATCCCGCATGGGAATAACAGGGGATCACCTCTGTTTCTTCTTAGACCTGAATAAGAAAAACCCTAATCCTCGCTGGTTCCTAGTTTCCCCGATTCCCACACAGAAATCGAAACCCATCCCTTCGTTTCCTCATCAATATCCCAAATCCTCAACCATTGTCTCAAATGGTTCAAAGATTTACATAATCGGAGGGTTTGTCAGGAGAAAGAGAAGCAAGAGAGTGTTGATACTCGATTGTCGATCTCAACAATGCCGTAGACTCCCCAACATGCGTCTACCTCGAGTTTCTCCAGCCGCTGATGTAATCGCCGGTAAGATCTATGTGATTGGCGGTTACGAGTCGAACAATATCGATGACTGGGGAGAGGTTTATGACCCAAAGACCCAAACTTGGGAGCCATTATTGCCCACAACACTTGATCTCACCGTCCAAAAGAGTGAGGTTCCAGGTAAATTGGTTATGGGTGGGAAAGTTTATGCCATGGATGATGTGTTTGAGCTTACATTGTTGAAGGATGTATGCTTAGTAGAGATAGAGTTTGTGTTGTGCCAAATATCGCTTTGGTATGGGATGCTAGTTTGGCGTGATGCTAAGTCAGATGATTCTGGGTGGGGTAAGGTAGAGGGACTTGATGGAATCTTGCCTGATGATCTTATTTTGGTAGCAAACTCTGACGGAGGAAGAAGAAGAGTGACAGTTTGGTGGAAGTCGGAGGTGGAAATTTGGTGTGCGGAAATCTCGTTTGAGAGACGAGGCGGTTTAGAAAAACTTTGGGGGTTCGTTGAATGGTCTAAGAATGTGTTTACCTACGGTATGAGTGGCGACATATGGTGCTCTCGGTCCGGTATCCTTGTGTTTACCTACGACATATGTGACTCTCCGCCCGATATCCTTTCTGCTATTGTCACTTACTGATCAATGGACTTTGCTGTGGAGAGAGGTTTAGGGACTTGGATTGACACATGATTTCATTTTGTTATAAAACTCTGGCGGTGATGGAGGAAGATTATCAGTTTGGTGGTGTTCAGTGTTGGATTGTTACAATCAAGATGGAAGATTTTGTTTTGAATATATGGATGTCAAATTAGTTCTAATTTCTTCTTTCACTCAACTACAGTGACTCATCGATTCTCTAGTTACAGTGATTTCTCCCATGCTGTTTTGTTTGTAGGAAATCTTAATTTTTGTAAGCATTTTGTGGATGTGTAAAAACTCCTTAAGATTAGTGTGTGTTTTTAGCAAAAGAGTGCTTCTTTACAACAAAGAAGTCGTAGCACCATTCAAAACAAAACAGAACGAAAATACAGAGCTTCGTTGGGTTGGCATCAATCTCATAACAATCAAAAGGCAGAACCGGAGTTGTTTGATCTGCTAAGCATCATCTCCTTGCCCTTAACTGATCTTAGAATCGAGATAGTGTCTGCCTCTAGCATTGATCAGAATGGAAAAATAAAAATATGTAAGTTACAAAAACAAAACTTAATTGTGAAATCATGAAACGATTTTATTCAAAAAAAAAAAAAAATCATGAAACAATTACCAACTTAAAATCAAAATGAACAAACCAAAAAAAAGAAAAGGAAATCAAATCTCAATAAAGGCCCATTTAAATAAAGGCCCATCAGACCTTGAATATTCCTCTCTAATTGATGATTTAGGGTTTAAAAACTCATTAACTGAAAAAAAATCGAAACACAGAATGACGACGGAAGAGATGAGCTTCCAGAAATCATCACCAGAGTCTCCTCCTCCTCCTCCGACGTCGTTTTCTTCGTTACCGTACGACTTAGTTCTGAATTGTTTGGCTCGTGTCTCGAGAACCCGTTATCCAACTCTATCTCTCGTCTCCAAGGGTTTCCGATCTCTCATCGCTTCCCCTGAGCTCGAGGCCACACGATTCTCCATGGGAAAAACCGAGGATTGCATCTTTGTTTGCTTAAACCTCAATCAGAACAACCCTAACCCTAACTTGTTCACACTTTCCCCAATTCCCAAACAACAGGAATTACTACCCATCCCTTGGTTTCCTTATGATCAACATCCCAAATACCCAACCATTCTTGCAATTGGTGCAGAGATTTACATAATCGGAGGCTTCCTCAAGAGAACGAGAAGCAAGAGAGTGTTGATTCTCGATTGTCTATCTCATCAATGGCGTAGACTCCCAAAAATGCGTCTATCTCGAGCTTCTGCTGCCGCGGATGTAATCGACGGTAAGATCTACGTGATTGGAGGCACAAGGTCCAAGAATATCGAGAATTGGGGAGAGGTTTTTGACCCAAAGACCCAAACTTGGGAGCCAATATTGCCCACAACACTTGATCTCACCGTTCAAAAGAGTGTGGTTCCAGGTAGATTGGTAATGGGTGGGAAAGTTTATGCCATGGATGATTTGTTTCAGCTTAGATTGCTCAATGATGTTTTCTTAGTAGAGATAGAAAATGTGTTGTGCCAAATATCTCTAGCGTATGGGTATCTACTTTGGCGTGATCCTAAGGCAGATGGATCTGAGTGGAGTGACGTTTTGGGACTTACGCTTGAAGAACTGTCCCCGTATCAACCTTATTGTGTGGAAAACTCCGGCGGAGAAAGAAGAGTGAAAGTGTGGTGGGAGTCGGTGGTGAATCGCCGTCAAGGTCGCAGGCGTCGCCGTACTAATGAATTTAACACAGAGATTTGGTGTGCAGAGGTTTCGTTTGAGAGACGAGGTTTAGGAGAGCTTTGGGGATTCGTTGAATGGTCTAAAAATGTGTTTACCTGTGATGGATTTGACCCTAACCCTTTTTCTGGTTTATTTTTGCAATCAGCTATTGTCACACATTGATCATTGAGATTTTATTTTAGTTTCTTTCGGGTGAATTTTATGATTTGTGGGGATTTTCTTAGAATATTTTTTATTATGATTTTAAGAGATACTAATAAACCAAATTATATTGGTGATTTATTGTTATTTCTTACAAAAAAAAATTAATGGTGTTTTCGATTGATCAATCAATTGCTAACAACAGAGGATCTGTTAGCAGATCGAAACTGTGTACTAGCACAAATTCAAGTTGCTAGAAAAAGAAACAAAGGACATACAACATCGGATCCAAATTCAAGTAGCAGAAAGGGTTCTGAAAGGTATTATTTTCAGCCTTTATGAATCTCAAGACTAGTTCAATTCGAGGAGCAAAACAAAAAGATGAAGCAGATTTAAGAAAGCTGTTGAATTCTCCACCTTTGTTTCACTTGCAGGTTTTTGCTTTCTCTCTTTTGTTCAAACATAGAAATCGATTTTCTTAGAACTCTTCTTCATTCATATCTTATAGTAGTTGCTACTGCTATACACACACTCACTTAGACCTTTAGTTACTCCCCCTAGTCCATGCATCTACACTAAGACTAGTTTTACAAGTAAGATAAACCAATTCTTCTTTTCTATCGTGGCTCAATACTAAGCTAGATTTAGAACCACATTTCCTTATTTGGGCCTAGTTTAAGCTTAATAGCCCATTTGCCTTCTCAGTCCAAAATACAAAACGATAATCTTTTTAGTTAATTTAGTTAGGGTTAAAAAAACAGAGCTAAAATAAATCAAATCTCCCAGAACCGGAAGATTCCTACGACGACGGAAGAGATGCATAAATCATCGGAGCCTCCTCCTCCGACGTCGTTTTCTTCGTTACCGGAAGACATCGCTCTCAATTGTTTGGCTCGTATTCTGAGATTCTATATTAGGACATAATGTCCCACATCGGAAGTTAGAAGGGATTAAGTAATATATAAGGGATATGGGCCACTCCACTCATTGCCAATTAATTTTGAGTTGGAAACCCATATTCTAATATATTACTTAGATTCCTTCCAACTTCTGATGTGGGACATTATGTCCTAATATCCGCATCGGAAGAAGAGAGGATTACCTCTGTGTCTGGTTAAACCTAGACAAGTACATCGCTGAACCTCGCTGGTTCACACTCTCACCAATCCCAAACCAACAGTTCCCTATCAACATCTCGAATCCTCAACTGTTGTCTCTACTGGTTCAGAGATTTACATAATCGGAGGCTACTTTGAGGGAAAGAGAAGCACGAGAGTGTTGGTTCTCGATTGTCCATCTCATCAACTTCGTAGACTCCCCAACATGCGTCTCTCTCGAGAATCTGCAGCCGCTGATGTAATCGACGGTAGGATCTACGTGATTGGAGGCCCTTGGTCCGACAATATCGAGGATTGGGGAGAGGCTTATGATCCAAAGACCCAAACTTGGGAGCCATTATTGCCCACAACACTTGATCTCACCACTCAAAAGAGTGTGGTTCCAGGTAGATTGGTTATGGGAGGGAAAGTTTATATTTATGATGACATTGGTTATATGCCTGAGCTTCGCTTGGAGGAGAATAATGTTTGCTTGGTAGAGATAGACAACATGATGTGCCAAGTATCGGTTTGCAAAGGGGTATTACCTTGGTATGATTTGAAGTGGAGTTGGGTAAGAGGACTTGAAGGACTGCTTAATTCACATTTTCCTTGTTATCTTGTTTCGGTTGCAAATTATGACCGAGGAAGCAGAGTGACAGTTTGGTGGGAGTCGGTGGTGTTTGGCCTTCTAGGTCTCAATTATTGGACTAAGGAATGTAAAAAGGAGATTTGGTGTGCAGAGATATCGTTGGAGAGACGAGGTTCAGAAGAGCTTTGGGGATTCGTCGAATGGTCAAAGAATGTGGTTACTTTCGATGGATGTGATTCTCCCTCCGATTTCTTTTTGCATTCTGCTATTGTAACTTATTGATCAACATGATGTTGTTTTGAGTTAATTTTAGACTTTTGTGGGAATTTTTTCTATAACAGTCTTTCAGTTTTATTTTTTTTGCTTTCATTGTCTTTGAATGTGATTTTGTACTACTACTACAACTACCAAAGAGTAACAAAGGAAACTCGAAACAGAGGCACGTACATGACGGGAACACACTGTCGAAATCAAAATTACATTTGTTTTCTTTTCCAGACTTGTTATAGGGTAACACAACGCATATATAATGTTTTCCTCAAAATGGACACTTAACAATATAAGAGCAAGTAAATCAAACCAATAAAGACCCTTCATCACCTAAGATTTTGTGTGAAGAAGTTTCGTTTGAGAATGTGTTTGCATAATGCAACAACTTTGGGATTTTGTTGAATGGTCTATAAGAATGTGTTTGTTTAGCTTTAATGGTTGTTACTCTCGGTCCGACTCTTTTTTGGATTATGCTATTGTGTGACACATTGATCAATGTGACTTTATTCAGATTATAATTTTTTTTAGCATTACATCTAATAAATACTAGTAGTTCATAAGTCAATTTAATTAAATCACTACATTTAATTGAGAGCTTCTCGTATGTACTTGAAGGTATGATCGTTGTGATTGGAGGTTGTAGGTCCAAGAATCTCGAGACTTGGGAAGAGGTTTATGATCCAAAAAACAATACTTGGGGTCGATTTTTTTTTTTTTTGTTTTTTTTGTTTTTTGAATACGAATTCTTGCTTAGTAAAGATTGACAAGGTGTCGTGCGTATTGTCGGTTTCTGATGGGAATCTATTTTGGCGTGAAACGAAGGATGGTTTTGAGTGGTCCAGTGTTATGGGAGTCGAAGAAGTGTCCTCTATTATTTCTGTGGCGAACGCCGGCGCAGAAGGAAGAGTGACAGTTTGGTGGAAGTCGTTGATATTGGAGTTAGTGAGTGTGACTGAGGAATGTGAAACGAAGATTTGGTGTGCAGAGATTTCGTTTGAGAGACGCGGTTTAACAGAGCTTTGGGGATTCGTTGATTGGTCTAAAGAGGTGTTTGCCGTTGATGGATATGACTCTACTTACGATTTCTTTTTAAATTCTGCTATTGTGACTTATTGATCAATGTGGTTTTCTACTTTAAATGTTGGGATTATGATATGAATTAAAAAAAAACATTTTGATGAGTTTAAGAGTTAATAAACGAAATTATATTGGTGCTTTGAGGTGGTTTTTTCAACGGTGTTTTCAAGTGATAATAACAACACAGGAGGTTTTGCTTTGACTCAGACTTTTGCTTGTTAGTGAAAGAGAGCATAAGGGGCAGAACATTTATTTCTACATGGGAAAAGATAATATAGACTTTTTTCAAGGAAAAACTGGTGTGGAGAGTGGTCAAGGGACTTGGATTGCCAAACATTATGTTTCAGTTTGGTGGTGTGCAATGTTGGATCACCCCTATGGTCGTAAAATGCAGATTTCGATTCGGGTTGAACCGAGCTTTTTAGGAAATCGTCAAAGAGTCTGTTTCAAATCTAATGGTTATAAAGTTCGTTCCGATTCCTTTTTGCACTCTGCTACAGTCACACATGGATTTGTATGCTCTGATGGGAGTGTAAAAACTCCTTAGAGATTGGTGTTTGTATCTATCATATGAGTTCTTTGGAATGTTTCAAGGATGATATACAACAAGAAAAAGAAACGTAGCACACATTCATAACAAAATCAATGGAAAGTTCTGTTGGGTTCGTATCAGACACATGACAATCAAAAGGCAGAACCGGTGTTGTTGGATTTTCCAAGCATCATCTGTTTGGCTTCATTGATCTTAGAAGCCAGATAGTGACTGCCTCCAGCGTCCGGGTGGTTTGCAACCATCACTCTCCGGTGAGCTTCCTTCACCTTCTCTGCCACAACACTCTCCCTGTTATAAAAAGACCACCACACAAACTCAGTCAACCCATTCATTTTAAAATCAATAATCTCCTACACAACCAACACTGAAAAATAGGATTCAAAAACATAAACTATGAAGTTTGCTTTGATCTAAAGCCTAAAGGGTGTTGAATCAATAACTTTGACCTCTAATACCTTGCAGAACAACCATATTTTCAAACCTAACATGCAACATCTGATTCGATGCCTACTGCATATGTTGGATTTGTTCACTACAACCACGATTCTCAGTCTCAGGACCAGTTCAATCTGAGGAGCAAAACCAAAAAGATGAAGCAGGTATAAGAAAGGACGAACCTAACACCGAGAATGAGAGCAGCTTCTCGGCGAGTCATAGAACTTTGGAAACCACCTTCATAAAACCTGCGCATTCTAGGAACATGTGGTCTTGCCTTGAAAGCTTGCCAAGCCAATATACCATATCTACCAGCATAAGCAGCTGCAGCTACAGCAGCACCTGCAATCATTGGCGTAGCCTGTGGTGTAGCCAGAACAAAAAAAACAACGTCAAACGCACAAAAAAAGGGAACAGACTTTGGCTTTGGAAATCAAAGAAAAGAAACATTCTTGATTGATTGATATCACAGAACCACATATAAGATCATCTAATGTATCCATTTTGTTTTAACATAACAATAAGACAACAAATGGATCCTGATCAACACCAATCAAACCCATCTTGTCAACGTCGTTCTTGATTTAAATTTACAGTTTTATTCGATTACAAACGAACGTTCCTGGCTAGAATTTCACGATACTTCCCCAATTGTTCAGAGAGAGAGAGAGAGAGAGAGAGAAATAGATTAATCCAGCTTAAACGGAAACAAGAACAGACCAAAACAAAAACTTACCATTATTCACGTAGATTTGAGCGGAGTAGTTGTTCGGAGGAAATTCAATCGGAATAAAAAATTCTAATAAATTCTTCGATTGTCGAGTTTCTCGATCGATTTAGGGAATGGGTTTAGGGTTCTTCAAAGGGGACGAGATATCTCAGCTGTTTTTTTTTTTTGCGTGGGGAGGAGGTCGGTTTGATGAGAACTTCGAGAATTTCCTTCTTCTTTTTTATAATATCGGTTCAACAAAAATTGTCGGTTAAGGGAGTCATAAACCGACAATTTTTGTAAGGAACGGTCAAAAGTCAAAACCCTCTTTGTCTGCCGGAGGGTTGGTTTATATACGGTTTTGTTCGTTTGATATCGCGGCCGCGCCAAGTAGTATATACCCTATCTTTCAGACAATGTTGGATTTCTCGCCAAGTAAATAAAGATAGGGATTCTTTAACAGGATTATGTTTGCGATTACAAGTAAAAAAGATGTGAAGGTTTTAAAGAAACACATACAAACACAATATGAATTTAGAAAGGTTGTAAAATTTAAAAAACAGCCTCAAATAACGGAGAATAAGATATTTTACGACTAAAACTATAAAAGGTATTAAGAATTAATTAAGCTTTTAAGAGCATGTGCAGTGGAGAGAACCCATATTAGTCTCTCAAATATATTATATTAACAATTTTTGTATAATTTTTTTATTTATTTTAAATTTAAACTATAAATAAAATTTATAATTAATTATGGTGAGATATGTGTTAAAAGAGTCTCTCACAAAATTCTCAAAATCTCTCACTTAAAAACTTACTTTATTCTCTCTTAACTTTTTAGTTATTTTATAATTTTTGTGGGTGAAAGACTCATTGAGAGACTAGCACTAAACATGCTCTAAGGATCTTGCATTACAATTCAAATAACAGCCTCAGATTCCAACTCATTCAACATTTTTAATAAAACCACTTAAGTATTCAAAGAAACAAAGGAACATATGAATTTAAAAAGGTTATAAAATTTATTATCGTAAAAAAATAAATGACTGGCGCTTACACTGCACAAATGAATTACGAAATGAAGGGAACACATAACAGACGACAATCTCTCGGACACATCCATAAGTGGGAAAATAAAATATATTAAATAAATACCTCAGCTACCTGCTTCGTTGGTCACAGCGACACCGCCACTCTCCACCTTAGGAGGAGCTGAGAACCGCCGTGGTTTAGGCAATGCAGGTGAAGTCGGATATGAGAGCCGTTTCTTAGCAGATGCCTTGTCCGTGAACCCTTCGTTTTCCTGTGTGGTACCACCTAATGGGCTTTGCGGCTTGAGCCTGGCTCGAGCTGATTTAGTTGGAACCATGTAGCTTGGGAGAGCCGGTGAGCCAGCGAGGCTCTCGTCATCTCTGACTGATGAACCAGCAATGCTGTGTCTGCGGTTCCTCTCTGACAGGACAGAGATTGTGCTTTTAGCGTCGTCGTCGTTGGATTTTCTCGAGGATTGGATTAACCTTGAGGGAGTTGGAGGAGAGAAGAAACTGTTTTTGTTTCTTGGGGTCCCTCTTGCGGATGATGGTGTGTTTGGCTGAGTTGAGCCATTGCGGGTTATAGATTTTGCAGCTTCGTTACGGTTAATAGAGCCCTTGACCGAGGCGGCATTGTCGTTGTTGCTGTTGCTGTTTTGTTCTTTCTCGGAACTCTCTAGTGGCCGACCAGCCATCCATCTCTCTAACCAGCTCCAACCCCATGTTGGGTTGCTTGGATCCATGAACATCGGGTTTCCAGATTTAGAGTTGCTCTTCCAGTTTTGCTGCAAACATGAACATAAATTATCATTACAACATTCAAATGAAGCACAAATTCAACTTCAATGGATGTGTTTGTGTTCACTTTTTAATTGCATCTTTCCACAGATTTAGCATTATAGGTTACAACAATCGGATACCTGATGAGAGTATGCATAAGCCAATGCCCTTTCCCTTCTCATTGTTGCCTCGTACTTGCTTAGCAAATTCGCTTCAACTTTCTCCTTTGATTGAATGCTATCATTCCAGTTATCCCCGTTCTGTGAGCAGGAACAGAAAAAAGAGAAATTTTAACATAAGCAAAGGCCCAAAGATTCTCATTTTCACATAAAAAGAGACAGTAAAATTAATAGTTTAAGTAACCCTTTCCAGACTAATAAGCAGAAACCATCCTACACATTATACCAACGACTACTAGGTAGAAATCAAAAGACATTTATTTCTTAGCAGTTCTCACAAAGAATAAAAGGAAGAAACTTTTGAATAAAAAGAAGGAAACTGAATCAGATGGATGTGAGAGAGAGAGGACCTTCAAGCCAGCTAGCTCTTTGGCATGCTTCTGAAGGAGTTGTTTCTGGCGAGCCTGATTCTCTTCTGACATCCTGATTCTCCTAGCTCGGATCTGCGACTGCACACGAGAGAGAGTCTGCATACATTTTAGAGTATTTGCAGCTTGCCGTTTAACAACAGATCCTTCCATCAATAACTTAAGCCTGACCAAACCCCTCATTGCCCTCAGTGCTCTTCTTGCCTGTTTTTCAGATATTACAAAAGGTAAGGTTATACTCGATAAAGCATCTTTCTTCACACAAAATCAATTGGCTGCTCAAGCTCATATGACATCCTGAAGGAATTAAGCCAATTGCAAGAGTGAAATTACATACCAAATAGCCTCTAAAAATAGTCTGAATCAGGATAGCAGCGGCTTCTTCATTCGACTTTCCCGCAAATCGAGCAGGTGTAGCCCGACGAACAACACCAGGAGCAGAAGAAGATGGAACTACGGGAATATCAGTAGCTCTAACATTCACAGCATCTGCAGTCGAAGGAGGAGAAAGATCCCTGTTCCGTTCATCAATCACTTCAGCTACTCTAACCTCACGAGGAGGAAGAGCAGGAGGAGGAGAAGAAGAAGAAGATTGTCTAACATTATCAACCACAGGAGGATTAGAGATCACACCATTTTGTCCCTCAGCCAATTTTTGTTTCGACTTCTGAAAAAAAAAAAAACACATCAACATGTCAATATCTACACACTATAACATTAAGTCACATCAATATACAAAAAAACTTCACCTTTGAATCTGGGCTAAATGCTTTCTTAACACTTGAAAACCATTTAGCTTTTTTCCCCATCTCTATGTAATCCTTCACATAAGAAAAAAAAAGATTATTCCAAAGGAAACTGAATCTACTGATCTCAGTAGCTAAATTACGACAGATCTCGATATCTAGGAGCTAAAACTTCATCAATTGATAGTGAATCAGGGAGAGAATGAATCGTACCTGTGAGAAGACAGTGACACCAGATCTGATAGACGAAAGCCTTGAAGATATAAAACCTGGAGGAGTCAACTAAACCTCAACGCGGCTTGTAAGCAGTGACCTTATCGGAGAAGACGAAAAAGCTAAGAATCGAATCGATGAGAGTTTGGATCTTTGCTGAGGTGCGAAGATAACTTTTCTTCTTCTTCTTCTTTCTTATGCTTTCACATTATCATAATTGCGAATGAAGAAGAGAGAGAGAGAGAAGAGAAGACAGATGGATTCAAAGCTGTGTGGAAGAGTATTTGTGACGGTGTGTGTTTGTGCGTGATGCCACTAATTGGGCCGCTTTTGTGGGCCCTACTCTACTCTCCTTTTTTCCTTTTTTTCTTAATTTACCAGCTTCGTCTCTCTTTTACTCTTTTCTATTTACTTTTCTTTCCATATAGTATAAACTAATCAATTAAAAAAGTAATGATGAGTTTTATTTCCTAAGTTTCATAGACACTGTTTTGTTAATTTTTCTTTTTATTAAATATCTTTAGATTTAGGTATTATTTGGTGCATTTCAAAATAGTAGTATAAGTAATTGACATGGTATATTGGTGTTTTTTTAATTTTCTTAAAATGTTTGAAATTTTCTTAAAATATCAATAACGTGTAAATTGGAAATATGTATTGGATTTTGTACCTTTTTCTGAAACTATATATTTAATGAACTAATTATGGGATCGGTAATAGTGACCATGTAAATTTCAAATTAATTTATAACTTTATCCGGTAAGATTGGTCCTCTAACTTTCATCTAATAAAACAAAATCGTTTAAATAAAAGTTTTTATTCGTTTTTCTTTTTCGATATGGGTTTTTCATTCGTCTTTATTCTTTAGTGGTTAAAATATAACACTGTATATCTTTGTTCGTTAAATATCTTTTATTAATCGAATTAAGATCTTATTTTTTTGTCGCCTATCAATAGTTTATCGAATTAATTCATCTGCATAATCTGTATAAAGTATGTGTGTTTTTTTTTTGGGTAGGCAAGTATGTGTGTTTTTATACACGCTTACATATAACTACAACCGACAAAACATGTGAACAAAATATGTCCACCAGTGAGACAGCCTTTATCATTTTAAAATATACTCGTAACAAGCCACCATATAAGATACTTAATACTTCCTGGATTTGACAAATCATAAAATTAGTTGATCATTGTACTTGTACACCATGTCATATTTTATGTTCAGATCCAACCACACTAGTAAGTAAATCTCCAATGGTTGAACAAACAAATTATTTGACTCGATATTTTAAGATCATATATATGAAATTACAAACAAACAATACAAGTGAAAACTCGTTCTATGCAACATCAGTAATAGGACAATGATTAGGAATTTAGGATATTGTAATTTCTCTATAGTCGTATTACCATCACAAAAGCAATTTCCCAATGATTTTAGATAATTTTATTATAACTGTTTTGACATACAATGAACTAATAAGATGATTAAAAGAGTACTTAATTTTGTCCAGTGGATTAAGTATTATCTGCCTGAATCATTGACTTTTTTGGAGATAAACCCAAAAGGTTCCTTAGGCCATCTGCAATGGCCCAACACCTTGGGTGTTCTTGGACTTTTTTAATTAGATAATATTGTGAACAGTGGCCGAAGAACATGTTGTTGGGTCTTGAGGTAGAACTGATTTTGGGCTTGTTCTTGTATGACGTGGCAGGCCGTGAATGGGTACAATTTTTAGCAAAGGAGTTGATTGAAAATATTTGGAATAAATTTGGACAATAACCTATGTATTAATTAAATAAAATGTTTCTATGCTTTTATTAAGTAATATGTTTGTTTTTTTATTTATATTTTTTTTTCATAAAAATTTGGTATTGTATTTTCACTTTTATTTTAAGTTTGTAAATTTTGCAATTTAAATGTTATTTTTAAATGTTTTTATAATTGTAATATGTTTATTATTATATTATTAAATCTTCTGATCTTAAACATGTTCTCCCAATAACCAATTTATTAACAAAAGATCTAAACTCCTGATCTTATATTATTTTAACAATATTTTTATTCTAAGCACACTCAAAACAGTTCCCCCATTGCGGATGCCCTTATTGGTGGCCAGCTTGTACCAGTCTTCTTATAATTTTCGTTATTTAAAAAAAAAAAAAACAAGAAATGCATTTTAAATATATGTCCAATCACTCCATGTGGCATCTTCTCTGTTTCGTTAATATAAAACCCTTAAAAGTTATTTTCATATAAATAAGTGAGAACTAGCCGTTGGAATTTGATAATTTTAACTAATCATATGATTTATTGTCGTCCAACATATCATAGTATGTGTATAACTGTATAAATAAGGATATGCTTCTGATAATTTATAATATTAATAGGTATCTCCAAAGTTGGTAGTTGAAATAAAGAAAAAAAAAAAAAATTGGTAGTTGAATTTGGGATATGGACATTCCACCTAATGTATAATTCAAACATCTTCGATAGGAAAAAAAAAATTAATTTTGAGCTCTTTTGAAACTTTCTCTCCCCGTCGGTCAACTTTATTTTTGTCTTTGCATTTTTAGCAAGTGAGATTTATTAACTAAAAAAATTATAAGGAAAATCGAAAAGAGATAACTAGAACCAAAAATTGAACCGGAAATCCATTTGGCATTATCTGAAATATAAGTGGGGCATGGAAATAAGGTCAGGGCCGTTAGCGTTTTAAAGATATTTAGATGATGAGCCAGTGAGTTTGGTAACGACCCGACATTTTAAGTCTTGTCGTTTTGTAACACATAGCAACGGTAGAAGATTCCTATATTGGCTAACACCTAAACCTGACTCTCATAAATAACCCCCATACTTTTTCTTCCAGTGAATTTTAATTAAATTAACAGTGTATAATTTTATATATAGATTGGTCCATCTATATCTACCCAGTGAATTTAAGTTTACTACTATTCAACTTTTGTTACTACTTCAGTTCATCTGTCTTTTTCTGCAAACATACACATTTAGAAAAAAAATTATATGATGAAAAAAAAACATTTTTACCCTTATAGTAAAGGGTGAGAATAAGAATTACAGCTAGAGATAAGTAGAAGATGATAAGGTCAGGTTATAAACTTGAGATTAAGAATAAAAAAGATGGTTATACTAGTAATACGGTCAGAAAAAGATTGTATACAATTTGGATAAAGCATGAGAGTTTTTGGAAAATTGAGTTGAAACAAGAACTGAGGACAACATTTAAGAATTGCAGAGAGAATGGAGAGTTGCTGGTTTTTGATCGAACTAGAGATATGAGTCATTTTATATATTCACCCCAAAATCTACTAAAGAAGCAAACACAATTCTGGTTTTAGCTGAGAAGATTCATGATAATAAGCTAGTTCTATGTTTCCTTCAAGAAATCATATAGTTTTTGAAATTGTGCAAATCTAAAATTCCCAAACCAACCATATGTTGATCTAAAGTAATATATAGGACTTCTTACACCATTGGACGACAGAAGATAATCTGTTCTTAGTAATGGCTGATAGTACTTCTTGATAGGGTTTTAGACTGTTTACCTCATTGCTCGATGCTAGGATTCTGAATCAGATAGCGAGCGTTGTGTAAGAGGGAAGTAGTCTCCTCGTTTGATGCATCAAGCAAACGCAATTCCTTGATCTCCTCCTGCCATTTCTCAACATGTTCCTTGTGTATCCTGTTTCATATATGTGAACCGTGTTACTAATGTGAGTATATAAACTACTCAATCATGGCACATACAGAAACATTATAGAGTCTCTTCAATCTCACATGATCAAGCGTTCTTCGAATTCGTTACTGAGTTCCTTAAACATTGTCTTCCCAGTTTCCAGCAAGTTAGAAACCTACCACAAGAAGCATCACAATTGATTAAGATATTGGTAATCATATCAACTGGGAAATGATGAGAGGTTACAGTTTGTGTGAAGCTCTCAATCTTATCGAGAATTTGAGCAATGTTAAGTTCCATCTCATCAGAAGCAACAAGTTTCGTGTCAGTTTCTTCATTCTCAATGGTATTATCAAGACTAATTCCATCTCTCGAATCTCCTTTTCCATCTTCATCCTAACAATTCTCACAGGACAAATTCAAAAATCTGATCCACCACAAAATCATCATCACCGGATCAATGCCAAATTCAAAAAAAACTTACAGATGCTCTCATGCGTTTCCGAAATCCTCCATTCCCTGCGTCTTCTTCCATTTCAGTGTTCATCAAAACTGCAGTAATTCGAAACGATGCTCATCAGCTTCGGATTCCGAGTTTAAGAACGCACGAACAGATTTCGAATTAGGTTTTCTACTCGATGCGATTGAATCTGCTAACTAAAGCATCGCAACAGATTTCGATTCCAAATCTAAAACTCTACGATTATATCCCGAACAATCTAGCTTAAGATTCTACAATAGAACGGAAGAAACGAGATCGAGATCGACGAAAAAAACCTTCGAAAGGGATTATTAGAGAACTTACGCGATGAAGATCGAAGAAATTGCTCCGTACGAATTTGAGAGAAGAAGATGAAGAAGTTTTAGGAGTGTGAGTGTAGAGAGAATGAGGAAGAATCCATTTAAATAAGCGTTTAAATTACTATATTTCTAAGAATTATTTTAATTTTTTTTTTTAAAAAAACATTAGATTATAGTTGATTATTTATTTAAATGGTTTGGATTCTGATGAAATTTCCAGTGTTGCTGAACTTTTGTTCATGACTCGTATTGTCTCTGTTTCATAATCATTACTAATCATACTTATACAATGCTAATAGCGTTTTTAAAGTATGGAGGAGTGACTCAAGAATCAAAGCAATCTAAAGAACTCACATAGTGAATCGATTTGGATGCGATTTGATATATAAAGCCGAGTAATATGAACATATACCCATTACAAAAAACATACAGCCAAAATATTCACCTAATCAGATACTAATCGTTTTTTTGCTCTAGCTCTTCCAAACACAGTTAAACCTCCGGGACAAAACAAAAAACAATACACCGGAGGATCAATAAGATATACCTTAAACTAGCTTAACTTAAGAGTGAGCAACTTCTTATGGCTCCGTGTTCACTGCATCGAAAAAGGTTCAAGACTTGTTATAAATATCCCGGGACCTTTTAAAGGGAAGCTGAACTGTTACATATTCATCTGATGATGATGATGATGATGATGACGATGATGACAATCGATGATTTACTTTTGATGATGTTGGTCCATCTGATTGTTGTTCTTGTTTTACATCAACAGACTTTTCACGGATTATGTTACGCTCTCTTGGAGGAGGATTATCATTTTCAGCATCACTCTCGTCAATGATCACAATCGTATCTGCACACAACAGAGAAGATTCATATAAACTTTCTTACAAGAGAGATTTACATAGCTCTTCAATCAAACATATCAAAAACTTACATACATACCTGTTGCAGTGTTATTCACATTATGATCATCCACCACAATAACCTCATTATTGATAGTCACATCAAGATCATCCACCATAATAACCTCATTCTTGATAGTCACATCAAGATCATCCACCACAATACTTTTGAAAGCCACATCGCTTGCTCCTATACTGGTGAGATTCTCAGCGTCAAAGAGCGATTTCAAAAATGAACATTGTGAGCTTGCCGCATCAAATCTCTCTTTTAATTCATCATACTTGTTCACTATCTCCTTCAGCTTCTCCACTGCTTTCTCTTTCGCAATCAAAAGCTCCTGATTCTTAACACGCAAATCATTGATGATGGCCTCTTTATCACTCTCCATTCCCTTCATCTCCTTCAGCTTCTCCTCGTCTTTCTCTTTCGCAAACAAAAGCTCCTGATTCTTAATACTCAAACCATTGATAATGGCCTCCTTCTCACTCTCCATTGCCTTCAATTCCTTCATATAGGCCTCCTTCTCGCTTCTCTCTTTCTCTAAATCCTTGAGCAAGCTCAGATTTTTCTCTTCGAGTTCCTTATTTTGGTTCTGATGATGAAACATCATTATCTCGTTCATTTCATTCATCTGCTGAAAACTTGCCTCTAGACTTTTGTAATCTTTTTCCAGATTCTCATGATTCTCCTTGAGAATTTCATGTTTTGTTGCTAAAATCTCCTCTTGAGCAAACAAATTGCTTCTTGTCGGAGTAGCCACCGACGAGATTTTGTTCTTCCCCGATTTGTCCGAACGAGCTGATGATTTTCCAGTCATGACTCCGAAACCCTAAACCTGGATCAACACAAAAAGCGTCAAGCTTTTACTAGAGCTTCTTAATCTTTGTCAAATTTACAAAATTTCACAGATTTCTGAAGAAACCCTAAAACCTAAATTCGTACTAAGCTCCACCGAAAGAAGAACGGAAAAATTAACAATCTCAGATCTCCAAACAGTACAACAACGGAAGAAAGAAGAAATAGAAAGAAGAATCTTACCCAGAAAATCTTTTGAATCTTCTTCTTCTTCTTCAAACAACCAGAAGAGAGATAAAGCTAGCTTATTGGAATATGAAAGTAGCTACAGAAGGGAAAAAAAAAAAAAAAAGCAAATCCCTAGACGCAGAGAAAATGAAGCGGGAATGCGAAAGGACAACTTTCTTTTCTTTTTTTCTTTTTTTTTATTGAATGAAGAAAGGACAACACATTCATGATCAAATTAATTTTGTGTTTTGATAATTAATTGAATCTCTTTGTTTAGTGTCAGTGGCGGATCTAGGAAAATTGTTTGATGGTGTCAAACTTACAAATGAGTTGAGTTCTAATAATTGGGTTGGTTTCAAGCTTCATAATTAAACTGATATATATTCAAATTTTAATGTAATTAAAACGTTTTTAAAATTTTAATGGTGTCAAATGCACCCACAATCATTAACGTGCCTCCGCCACTGTTTAGTGTTAAAGTTAACTTAATCCAAACCTTTGTGTTCTTCCGACCATGTCCTTTAACAAAGAGTTTAGATTAATTGATTGCCGATGGTTATATTTTGAATTGATGAAATATCTGCTTAAAACCAAAAATAGTTGTATCCGAAAAAGAAAAACAGAAAAGAAAGATCATTTCGAATTTCAATAAAATACCACCATATCTAAAAATCATAATTACGTTGACAGTGTATCTAATAATTGGATTTTGAAGTGACAAGGGAATACGACAAAAAGAAAAAATGGAATTAACAAAGGAATAAAACCTTCGACACCAGTAAGAGTGTTTACTCATCTACTGTTTTGTCTACCTCAACCACTCATGGTCATGTGCCTTGCTTGTAACATGCAAAAATCCCAAATGGTGAGACAAAACTGTATTATAAGTAGTTACAACAACAACCCAAAGAGGAACCAAAACCTAAAGACTACTCTCTTTCTCTCACTCTCTCTATCCTTACAAGCAAAAGCTAAGATGACTAGACCTTTGATTCCATCATCCGACATTCTTTGTATACCCACCTTAAAGTCCCAGGAGATTTCATTCATCGATTCCATAATCTTCACCAAAGTATTTATCCACAAGACTATTCGCCATGACTCGTAGCTCTTCATTCTCATGAAACTGAAACCTTTCCATTGCATCAATACCATCTTCTCCTTCCACAAGCTTTGGTCCTTCCCCGTTTGGCATTCCTCTTAAAACCTATCCACCCAGAAATCAAAACCAATCAGGATCACTCTGGATCCAAATATGACTATTCGACATCAGTATATAAGCAAAACTCGTGTCTCGTTAAGACCATTTAATTAGTTGCTTACCAGCTCAATGAACTGAAGACCAAGCCTAGCAGCTTCGATATCAGGAGATCTGACCAGCTCAATAAAACCTGGGAGGCAACCGCCTCTCACAATGGAGACTAAGTGCTCTTGAATTATCCCTGGTTTTCTGTCTCCTTCTGCAGATTCTACACAGAGATTTCCCAAGACGTAGGCAACTTCTTTCCTTATATCAAAGGGCGATGTGGACAGAAGCCGTAGCAACAATGGCATTACTTCAGTAGAATGTATCATTCTCTTGTGTTCAATAGATCCCGCGGCTATATTAGATAGCACCCATGCAGCTTCCTACAGAATTGAGACTAGTGATGAAAGGTTCATATAATTGTAAAAACCGAAGTGGGTATGTGGTACTGACCTTCTTTAAAACACGGTGCTCGCTTCTTAAGCACTTTGCAAGCACACCAATGATACTTTCTGAAATTTGATTTGCAAAATCAGTATCTTGAAGACTTGAACAATACATACGATTAAGGTGATGGTGTTTCACCCGGAAAAGATAACAGATACTAGCCTTCGGTGTTCTGTTCACGGATAAGAATGGTTAATATTGCTTTGGGATCAACAGCGACAAAGTTGCCTACACTTCGTAGAACCTGAATTCATGCTTTTTGTTTCAGAGATAAATCAAGAATGCAGCGTTTGAAATATAAGTATCATAGTTAGTATTCTGTATTTATCATTCATGCTAATATGAGTGTAATGGGCCCTGAAAGCAATGACTTGAATAGCATAATCTGTGGTAATATAACTACAATCTTGTATTTTTTGAACAATATAAGGTTTCTTCAAAAGTTACCGGGATAAGAAGTTGTAGACTATTTGAGTTTGCTAATCTTTCAATAAGTAGTTGGAGAATGCCTCCCTTCAAGAGCATACTTGTAGCTATATCTGAGAGGGCAGATAGGTAAACAATGATCCATGCAATTTCCGTGGCAGTTTCTTCATCCCTGAATCCAACAATTAATAATATTTTGATAAAATTATCCACCAAAATTGAACAATAGAATATCAATGGCATAAAAAAAGACCCGTATGAAGCTAAAGAATCAGTAAGAAGCAAGACACCACAACACGCTAAGAAGTTGTTGAAACTCAGAGAGATGTAACTTTGCTCACGTTTTCTTCAAGTGTCGAAAAATTGCATCCAGTATCCCATCAACTTTAACAAGTTGTGCTGCCGCCTTTGACTCAGGTCCCTGTATTAAGGTATAACGAAAGTAGTATGTAACAAAGGCTTGTATATTGTAACCAATGTGATAATATAAGTGCCAGGTATTTCCACACCTTGATCAAATTTGACAATGCCCATGCAGCTGTTCTTACTGTTGAACCCTTGTCGGGAAAAATCATACGTGCCAGAGATGGCAAAGCCCCTTGAGACAAAAGAACATTCCTCAAATCTTCTCCTTCACCCGCAACATTACCAATTGCCCATGCACACTGCTCAGCCACCGGTGCAGAGCTCTTTTCTGAATATAAACTTGTGAGCATATGAAATCTAATCCGACAAAAATAATAGATTAATAACAGACATGGTTGGCCAGTACAAACCTCCAAGGTGAGCAATGAGTAACGGCAGTGCAGGTAATAAAGCTTTTGTTTCTTCAGGTTTTCCAGCAGCAATGTTTGTGAGACACCAAGCTGACTCAAGTAACTGCAGTTAGGCAGAACTGGGATCAAAAGATTACAAACCTCTTTATTTTGTTTTATTTCAATGCATATGACAATCTTACAATATCCAAAATCTACAAAGGGATAGCACTAAAGCATATATATAAGGCCAGTGTAAGAAACCTGTTCGTCAGGAGAGCCAAATGAAAGACACTGCACAAGTAAAGGTATCGCACCAGCGCTGAGCGCAGCTTCAACAGGAGGGAACTCGGATTTTGATAGTATACGCCTGAGTTCCCGAAGAGCAGTCACCCTCTTCTGCATTGCACCTTTTCCCCTGAAAATTGAGCAAGAAGATAATAAGTAGATATAAGAAATAAAATCACGAACAATACCCGAAACAGTGAAGAAAACGAGAAGAATGACAAACAAAATATTGACAGATTCACTTACTGATATTGAACAGCGGACTTAAGCTCTTCAACGGATTTACTGGCTTGAGCCTCCAATATTGGCTGCTCTTCATCAATCATCATCTCATTCTCAACAAGAGAATCCTCAACATCGCCATTAGTACCCACCCTACAAAGCCTCTTTGCCCTAACGAGTAATTCCCTTCTCTCCTTCGCCACTGTAACAGCTTGTTGCCGTCTTCTTTGCCCCGCAACATGCCCAACTACACACCGCCATTTCCAACCAAAACCATGTCACCGATTAAAACCCCCAATGATTCTAACAAGTTTACATACATGAAAACCAATACTAAAACGCAAGAAGTATCTAAATTTGTTCCTACCCTAATCACCAATTGACCTAATTAGAGAAGCAAACAAAGAACACTCTTTCATCAGTAACACTAACATTACTCAATCAAGCTCGAGGGTTTACGGTGAAACCCAGAATGAAAATTCACCTGAAGACTTTATTGGGTCTCTTCGATTAGATGCGGAGCCATCATCTGCCATTAGAGAAGCTTGAGCACTGCTAGTTTCTTCTAGCGTAGGGTTTTTGATTCGGTAATTTCACCGGAGTAATTTCAACGAATAGGATTTACAAATTTCGCCGAAAACGATTTAGATAATTTGGCCCGCCCAGCAAAAAAAGGAAACACGAAAAATTCGCCGACTCATATTTATATTATAATTTCATATTAGTCCCTATTATTTCAATATATACAATAAATAGCCCATTTAACTTTATTATCGATCTCGAAATCCATAAATGGATCAACGATCGTGGTTACACGAAGTGTTTGACATTCGCCTATGTAATAAACTAAACAAATGACGTGGCGACTCTTCATTGGTTGTTTACACGTACACCGTAAGCTAATGTGATGCATGTGGTAATAACTCTTTTCAGAGTACACGTGTCACGCATCCACATGATTCTCTTCCCGGAACATGATGATTTCACCGTCTGGCTTTTTCTCACCCACTATTCCGTCACTTTCTCGGTTCATTTTCTCGAGAAAATAATAAAAAGAAGAAGTCGAAAACGAAACCTGAGACCAAATCTAAATTCTCTCGATCGATTAACAAAAATTCCTTTGGATCTATCATCAATGGACCTCCTACCTCAGCAGCTCAAGGCCGTAACTCTCACACACGTCCGGTACCGTCCCGGAGATCAGTTCGGACATTTCCTCGCCTGGATCTCTCTCGTCCCTGTCTTCATCAGCCTCGGTGGATTCGTATCTCATTTCCTCTTCCGGCGTGAGCTTCAAGGGATCTTCTTCGGTATAGGTCTCGTGATCTCACAATTCATCAACGAGTTCATTAAAACATCTGTAGAACAAGCTCGTCCCGAGACTTGTACGTTGCTCGAAGCTTGCGATTCACATGGATGGCCATCAAGCCACTCGCAATTCATGTTCTTCTTCGCTACTTATTTCAGTTTGATGGGATGCAAAGGAATTGGGTTCTGGTTTGGGTTAAGAAGTAGATGGATTATGAATCTTCTTCATTGGTCTTTAGCTGTTGTTACCATGTATTCTAGGGTTTATTTAGGTTACCACACGGTGGCGCAAGTTTTCGCCGGCGCCACACTTGGGGCTGTTGTTGGTGCGAGTTGGTTCTGGGTGGTGAATTCTGTGTTGTATCCATATTTTCCGGTGATTGAGGAGAGTGTATTGGGGAGATGGTTATATGTGAAGGATACTTCGCATATTCCTGATGTGTTGAAGTTTGAATATGACAATGCAAGAGCTGCTAGGAAGGATATGGACTCTGCTAAATCTGATTAATTTGGCTATTTTGATTTTGGTAAGTCGAAATTTTCTTCACTATTTCATTGATTTGGATCTGATTGGGTCTTAGAATAAGCATTTTTGGGAATCAGCTTTGGCTTTTGATGCTTTTTAAAGCTCAAGAATGTAGTGACATACTACTGCCGTATTAAGATTCTAAAGTTAATAGAGAAATGTGGATTTGATTCTTCATTGATTCCTAAACTGGTTTTAGTAATGCAAATCAAGTAATGTGAAAGTTTGTTTTGTCATGGCTAAAGATACTGGTTTGTCTTGTTTCGCTATAGGTAGTCACAGTTATGTATGTGTACCACTGTAACATTAGAAAAACACAGGAAGAACAATGTTTGTGTAAAAGCTGTTCTGCTCATCCTTCATAACATTAAATTTGTTTTCGCCATTTCTTAGTGACGCCAACAAATGCAGTTCTGTTTTGAGTTTCTTCTTGTCTTCTTCTTTGTTCCGCAAGCACGTCTCACTTGCTTCATCACTTGCTTCATCCATTTGCAGGTTGCGAACTCGGGGAAACTTTGTTTAGCGGTCTTGTTATCCTTTTCTTTATTACATTATATCAGGAATGGCAAGGAGATGGGAGATTCCATTTATGCTACCGTTCTAAGACTTTATGAAATTGGTGAGATTAGCTGCTCATCTGAACATTTCACAAAGTGAACCTTCTTCACACTTATTAAGTGATCTTTGTATCTCTTTTCCTTTTCACTTATCTATTGAAAGAAACAGTTTCGTAAATTAAAGAAAGTTATAGGTCTGTGGTTTTTGGGGATTCAACACAAGGTAGGTATGTTTGATTTGCTTTTTTTGAATGATCTGCCAATGTTGGAGTACTATATTATAAACATGATTTTTCAATGACACACGAACACGACAAATGGTCTATAAGGTATCGCAAGAAAAGAGAAAACATTTTTTTTTGGATTGTAAAAGAGAAAAAGAGATAACGCGTTTGGTATCTAAATTGATGTTTCTAATTTGTTAAATTACTGTTATTAACTCGTTGCAAAAAAATAGTCTTACTAGAAGATTGGAATAATGAGTTTTTGTTTACATATTAACAAATTTAGTAAACAAAAACTATGTAAAAATATTGTTTCTAAAAAAATAGTTTACATAATAAAAATATTTGCAAAAAACCATAAAAATTAGTGTAAGTGTTAAATTTACTTGCGTGAAAATAGTTGAACTAATAACACCTCTTAAGGACCCGTACGATGGAACGGCATGGTAAATCCAGTTTGTTTTCAATGCACTGAAATTTAACACTTAAATCATTGAAAACAAAAATATTTTATATAATAAAAACTTTAGTTAAAATAAAAAAAAAAATTTGCAAAAAAAAACAGTTTTTTAACTTAAAAAAAAAAGTTTTCAACTTGAAAAACACCTTTGAAATTAAAATATTTGTATAATCAAAAATATCGTAAACAAAATAGTTTTTATATATTTGTAGAAAGCCATAAAATTAATCTAAGTGTTAAATTTACTTGCGTGAAAAACGGTTGAACTAACAAAATGTCTTAAGGACCCGTAGGATGGGACGACATGCTTAGTCCGGTTTGTTTTCAATGCATTGAAATTTAACACTTAGATTTTTTGAAAACCAAAATATTTTAATATAATAAAAACTTTAATCAAAATATAAAAAACCATGGAAATTAATTTAAGGGTTAAATTTACTTGCGTGAAAAGCGGTTGAACTAATAACACCTCTTACGGACCCGTAGGATGAGACGGGGTGCTTAGTCCGATTTGTTTTAAATGCATTAAAATTTAACACTTAGATTTTTTTAAAACAAAAATATTTTATATAATAAAAACTTTAGTTAAAATAAAAAAACATTTTGATTAATCATTTTGATTAATCAAAAATATAGTTACAAGAAATAGTTTTACATAATAAAAATATTTGTAAAAAAACCATAAAAATTTATCTTAGGGTTAAATTTACTTGCGTGAAAAGCGGTTGAACTAATAACACCTCTTACGGACCCATAAGATGGGACGGGGTGCTTAGTCCGGTTTGTTTTCAATGCATTGAAATTTAACACTTAGATATTTTGAAAACCAAAATATTTTATATAATAAACCTTTAGTTAAAATAAAAAAAAAATTTGATTAATCAAAAATATAGTTACAAGAAATAGTTTACATAATAAAAAATATTTGTAAAAAATCATAAAAATTAATCTAAGGTTTAAATTTACTTGCGTGAAAAGCGGTTGAACTAATAACACCTCTTACGGACCCGTAGGATGGGACGGGATGCTTAGTCCGGTTTGTTTTCAATGCATTAAAATTCAACACTTAAATTTTTTGAAAACCAAAATATTTTATATAATAAAAACTTTAATAAAAATAAATAAAAAACCTTTGCTAGAAAAAAAAAAAGAGAGAGAATAAAAAATTCAAAAAAATTGAGGTAACAAATTAACCAAGAGGCTAAAAAATCCCTAAATTCCAAAATTCCAAAATAGTGAACAATAAGATTGGCTTAAGGACAAACAGGTAAACAAAACCCTAAGCTAAACAAGACAGTATGTGATGAAATTGCTTAAGGACAGAGAGTGATACCAATTTATGATCGAGATTGAAGCATTCACGTGTTATCAAACAGTCAGAAGAACCCTATAGACATGAAGAACAAAAGAAGATATTAATTCACAACGAATAAGAATCAAATCTCTAAAACAGTTTAAATTAAGTAGGTAAATTTCTTACCATAGCTCTTTGGTTTCAAAGGATCCGGGAGAATCGTCGTCCTTTCTCGCTTGAAGCAGAGACCCAGATGAATCATACCTGTGACGCAAAAGTCAGAAAAACAGAGTCACACAACGATGACAAGAGAATCGATCAACCTTAGAAGACCCCAACATATATCAATGACGGAGTGAAATAGAGAGAAAGAGAGAGATAATGATTTTATGTAACCTGATCGTAGATAGATGGCTCTCTCAGGCTGAGATCGGTGATCTTTTAGTCAATCAAATATGTGTGCTGAGAGAATTAGAGAGAATGAAGACGACGAACAAGTGTAAGAGATTGTAGTTGCAGACAATTTTAATCTTTGGGGAGAAACTCTCGTATATAAATAGAGGCACCTGATACGCAGTAGTAAAAAAAATGAAGAAATAATGGAAGCTGTGAAAAAAAAGGAAAATCACTAACGGCACTCTTATGAAAAGAATGGAAATTCACTTACGTCAATTTAAGCTAGTTGAGAAAAATGGAAAATTCACTTACGTTATTAATTGGGGTCAAAGTAACTGGCTCTGCTAAAAAGGGAAATCACTAATGAAAAAAATGGAAATTCACTTATATTAATGGAAAAAGCACTAACGGCTACTTAGAAAAATGGAAAAATCACTAACGTTAATAATTAGGGTCAAATCAAAGTAACCGATTCTAAATTACAATCCGGTTTATCTTTCCTTTTTTTCTTTCTAATCACATTTAATTTACCATTAAGGCCCAACTAAATCATATTGGGCTTTAAAGAAGCCCATCTAAAAGCTAATGCTGTATAAAGCAGTTTTAGGACTCAGTAATGACGCCTTCTGTACGTAATGCAAGTAGGAATGCTTAAAAGCTAATTTATGAAACTAGCCGGCGATTCAACCGACGGTGTCGATTTCATCAGCTCTCTACCCGACGCGATCCTCCACCATATCTTCTCCTATATTACGACTAAGGTCGCCATCAGAACCTCCGTCTTGTCCAAACGATGGAAACATATCTGGTACGAGACACCGTCTCTCTCAATTGTTTGCTATAGAGTAGATCCCAATTCGATAAACAAAACCCTACGTAGCTACTCGGCTCCCAAAATCACGAGTTTCGATGTTACCATGAGCAATGACGTCACTGCACCTGAGATCGATACGTGGATCAATCTCGCTGTTTCACGCAACGCTGAGGATTTATCTCTCAAGTTCAGATATAATTACAGATTCCCAGATACCTTCTTCATCAATTCCTCTCTGAAGCAGCTTAGTTTGAATTTGGGTTATTCCAATCTGATTCCCAAATGCGTTGTCTCTTGGTCATCGTTAAGGACCTTGTCGTTGAATCGTTGCAAGATGTCTGATGGCTCATTTGCCAAAATTCTCTCTGGTTGTTTATTACTCGAAAGCTTGACATTGAATCTCTGTGATAGACTTTATCATCTTGATCTGAGCAAGTCACTAAGTCTGAGAAGATTGGAGGTGTATGGAGACCGTTGGATTGAGGCACCAGCGAGGATTGTAGCGCCACACATCCATTATTTGAGATTGGAAAACTATCAGCGACCATCCAATTTAGTGGATGTCTCCTCTTTAACAGAAGCTAATCTCAATCTTTCATATGTACTTGACTATTTCACATGTGAAATCGTCGAGGCTGAATTGCTTCAGTTCATGGTGCGAGAGATTCTAGTAAAGTTGCAAAACGTAAAGAAGCTTACTATTGGGGGAATTTTTCTTCAGGTAATGTCGATGCCTACAATTTTCTATGTCGTTATAGGATAATTTGGTTGCAAATTCAAATGTTGGATTGTAGATAAGTTTTCAACCCTCTAGGAATTAGGAGCATATGGAGATGCCTAAGTCTCTATGTGGAATGTGGAAACTTGAGGCAACTAGTTTTGGCAAATGGTTCTTGTTATGTTTCAAGCTTTTTGTTCTTTATAGTAGAGAGAGATCTATGTCTCTGTAGTCGCTTACTTTTTTGTGCTTTTGTCATTCTTTTGCTAGATTCTATCTCTTGCCGAGCTCCGTGGTGTTACTTTTCCAAAATTCAATATCGAAGCTTTGACTGTTGAAACGAGGATTGATCAGTCTATGATTCCTGGTCTAGCAAGGCTGCTACAAAACTCTCCTGGACTGAAACGGATAACAGTTTACATAATGAAATGCAACACCATACCGGTATCTTTTTTACAATAATCGTCTTTTATTTTCAAAACAAGTTCCTAAGGACTGTGTCCAGTTTTTGGGCTAATGTATACATATATAGATGTGATAGATATTTTGTAGAATCAAAAATCATTTCTAGTAGTTTGCTTGAGCATTATTTTGTATGTTCTACAGGATAAGCATCTTGACAGATACTTGAAATTGTGAGGCTTGAATCCGGAACAATGCTGGATATCAAAATATGGGGTCTTTCCAACTGTGGAGCAGACATCTTCAATGTTGGATGATATTGGTACGGATGCAAAGATGAAACATGTGGCTTCGTTCGTAAAACTTGTCATGGGAAACACAAAGACATTAGAGAAGCTGGTTTTACAGTTTGGAGATTACCTTGATGCAACAGGGATTGAAGAGCTGTGTCAAATGGTTCCAACATTTTTTGACAACAATGTCCAAAACTCCAAATTGTGATCAAGAAAAGATGATCTTAAATAGTAGTATTAGTTTATCTATGGACCACCGTAGATGGCTTAATTTTCTTGATAAACGTGTCTTCAAATTAATTGTTTTGATCTTAAATTTATGATTCAGAGCTTTAAGTTTCTGTGTTCACATTGAAGAGAACAACAGTTATATAGCCTTGTAGGTTAGTCTCCGTGTGATTGTCGTTTTTGATGTGTCTTCACTGATCAGTACACGCAGAAGGCAAAACTTTCCTCCGTCCAAAGCGGATCTCTATATTACGTTTCTGTAGAAACTATGGTCTCTCTCATACACACAAACACACACGTGGTGAAAAGTGATAGTTTGAAAATTAATATCTAAAGTTTCTAATTGACAAATAAAAAGTGTAACCTTTTTGGAAGGGTTGAATTTTCGTTCTATATCATGCTTTTGCTTTAGTTTGATTTATTTGACTTGGTATAGTTTTTGGTTTATTTGAAGGGTCAAAAAGTAAAATTAATTTGATGAGAAACAATGGTTCATTACTTGTCGAATTGACTTCGAATGTTTAGATGAATGGAGTCTAGAAACCAAACAAAAACTTGAAATTCCATTTGGTTTAAAATAGATTGGTTTTGTTGGATTTGATTGAAGAACCACATAAAAATGAGGTTAGGTGTATATCATTTCCCCCATTCGTTATTTGTGTTTAGGTTATATGTGGCTAAAATGAAATATATTTGCTTCCATTTGATATTTTTTCCTTGAAAACAATCAGTAAATGTATTTTTGGGATGATATGTTTGATGGGTTTAGTGAGAATATTGGTAGTGGGAGACAAGAGTTGATTTGGATAGTTGAGTGTTGCTTTTGTTTGTCCAAAAAGAATTCCACTTTATGTTTTTAGTCATTTCCAAATCATAACATCAAAAGCGACGTCAAATGCATACTTCATATGTTCTAAAAATTTATGAAGGATTCTGCTTTTAGACCATCAACTTCTAGTGATCTCTGATTATTATTGGCCAGTATCTGCAATCTTTTTGGAGTTAGGTCCATTTCTTAATCCATATACGAATTTCTTTCAAAAGTTAAAGAGTACATTATTTTTGTAATATCGTCTTAATTAAGTTTATTGTTTAGAACAATGTTACATTTAGTGATTGTAAGTTTACGTATGTAGATCCATCATATTTATTATCGTTGAATTATCCTAAACACGTGTGTGTGCAATCTTTTGGTTCTAATCGAACAAATCACAAAATCAAAATTTGTGGACATGCAATTTTTGAAATGTATTATGTACTCATAGTTCTTTTGGATAGAAGTCTTCGTCCAAAAACAAATTCTTGTTTGAATAGGCTGTTAAACTTCATTTGAGTTTTGTTAAATCTTTTTAACTTCATACAAGTGTGCAGCCCCGGCTCAGATGGGTAGGGCAGAGGTGCGACGGCCCGGAGCTTTTTTCTTTATAAAAAAATTTACATATAAAAAAGGCTCAAATATTTTTTAAAAATATTATTAATATGAGAATTATATTTTAAGAGGTCTAATTATTTATAAGAAAATGTATAAAAAGACCCAAAATTTTTAAAATAACAATTTTTACTATAAAAACTCCGCAAAAATTTTAAAAATTAAATAAATTTTCTCTTTGTATATAATAATAGGCCAAAAAAAATTTTTTTGCCCTAAGGCTCTCAAATATATTGAGCCGGGGCTGCAAGTGTGAAGTGTCCAGCAAAACGACACCAATGATTAAACTAAAAAAATTATATTTAATTTTTCTCTAAGATTCGTTTCATTGCAGTCAAAGTCGCACAAGAAAGATTAATAAAAAGAAGAATTAAAGCAAAAAAAAAAATGAGAGGTAGTTGGGTTTACCCATATATGCACTTATTAATCTAGAATAAGGAACACAAAAATGTAAGAAAATCAAAAGTAGATTAAGGAGTTAATCTCCAAAATAAGTAAGCGTTACAATAAATTAAGTAAAAAATACATTAAACAACCTATAAAGTGATATCATAAAGACCCTAAAAATCGATTCGTCCGTTGTGGACGAAGACCAAATAAAAAGAAATGTTTTATTTAAAGGACCATTAATAAGTGTTGCAAATAAATTAAAATAAAAAATAAAAAAACGGAAAAAAAAAAACCAAGTGCAGACAAAACGAAACCAGAACACGGTGAAGAGAAGAGGAAAGAGAGAGAGAAAAAAGGAAGACGATGATGATTTCTCGGAGACCCGTTTCAAGTCCGGGTCGGGTCGAGAAATATCCACCGCCTTTTATGGGGTTTTTGAGGAGCAAAAGTAACGGTGGAAGCACAAGTAGAAGTAGAAGCCGAAGCAGAGGAAGGTCACGCGCGAGTCCTCTATTTGTTCGCCGGAATAAATCAGCGGCGGCGGTGACTCAAGAACCGTCGTCTCCGAAGGTTACTTGCATGGGTCAAGTCCGGGTCAACCGATCGAAGCCCAAAATTAAACCCGAATCTCGAGAAAACCCGACCCAACGACGATGTAAGTGGATCCGAAACGCGTCGTTTTATAAAAAATTCGCCGGGAAAATCAAAACGTTGTCGTTTTGGCCTAAATGGCGATTGTTTTCGTTTTCGTGTTCACGTCGGAAATTGAAGGAGAAAGATTCTCCGAGAAGCCAATTAGATCGTCCGGCAACGGAATCAGTCAGAGAAATCAAAGAAGAAATCGAAGAAGAAGAAGGGGAAAATTTTGAAAGCCCTAAATTATTTGTGTCTCCGGCTACTACGCCGCCGGTAAACGCTCTGTTTTTGACGAGAAGCAGATCTGCACCATATAGATCGTCGTCGTTGGCTTTCAGATTCTGGGAAGAGAATAACCAACGCGAAGTTGAATCGCAGCAAAATGTGAGATCGGAGAAAACTGAATCGGAAGTTCCCACCGAGAAAATCAATGGTGTTTACGATAATGTTGATAGAGATGAAGAAGAATTAACGGAGTTAGGGTTTGTACGAAGGCCAGCGTTGACAAGGAGCAAATCAGAGCCGGCGAGGATCGGCGAGAAGATGATGGTGTTGCTTCCGGATGAAGAAGAAGGTTAGGTAGGGTTTAGGTCTCTCATGTGATTAGTCAATTATTGCACTAATTTTTAATTAATCGTTGGTTTTACAATTTAATTTTCATTGTTTAGGATAATTTGACTGTGTTTAGATATAGAGGAAACAAATTTGTATAAAGATTTGTAACCATACATATATATAACGTAAGGTGTAGGTATGTTTGACATCAAAAGTGTTTAACAATACATTATAAATTCAATTTCAATTTGTATATTTACATTATCTGTTTTATTTCAATTTAATCTGTATGAAATTTTGGCAATCTAACAAAACATAAATTTTTACTACTTTCTAGAGCAATTCAAAACAAAATTTGTGTTTTTCGAGAATTGAACCGTATTCTAAACCTTGATTGTGTTTTACGGTATTGTAAATTAAAGTGTATAAAGGTTTAGAAAATTAGAAATTTAATATTGATTGTTAAAAGAAAAGAAAGAAAAAGGCTTATTATGGCCCAACTTATAGATGGGCTTATATATTGTAGGCCAATAGTTCGATACTATTGACCGAATAAAGACCCATTTATTTATACTAATTCGAGATATATACACATCATTATAGATAATTGATCCATAAATGTATGATGCATAGTATAAAAAAAAAGAAAAAAAAAAGATGGGTGGGTGTGAAAATGAAAGGAGGCGTGCCTTAAGGAAAAAACACAGCCATGAAATAGCTGTAGAGATGGATATGGACCCATTACAATTTCTGATTTATGAATAAGAACCAAGAAGATGTTAGACAAAATCATGGAGTTCTCACACTCATACTAATTATAATATATATTACTATACATTTTTGCAACACTTTTAAGGGATCCTAATCGGGTCAGATTTTGATTCAATTTTGACCCGGAAATCTCAATCGGATCTTTCCTTAATTTTTGGCAAAATTTAAAAACGGAATTAATTAATAAAATCTAAAATATATAAAATATTTTCTCAATTAATTACTATATCTAAACTCTTTATTTATGATATATTATTTACGATTTTTATGGATAAGGAAATCAAATATGATGATTTAATGCTAATATAACAAATTTGAGCTAATTTCCTAAAACCTCTCTACCTAATTTATACATAAATATATGATTCTCATTTCACTTTTATTTGATCTTATATTTATATTATTTGAATTATTATAGAATATATGTAGTTAATAAAACCTTAGATTTTTTCCTGCATATGCTATGATTCAAATTTTTTGAAACGGACATATATTACTTAATCAATGAAGAAAAAAAGTATGTGTGTAATATATATTAACATTTTTGAAGAACAAATTTGCGCATTTAATTAGGTCGTTTTTTTTTTCTGACCCGGAATTGAATCATTTAGATCTTTCCTTAATTTCTACAATTATCTAAAGCGGGACCGTATACTACGGGTGAAATCCTAAAATTAACAAATCAAAATACAATTATTTAGTATTTTAAGATAAAATTATAAATTATTTTTACGGGTTGGTCCAAAAACACACACTAATTTAAAAATATATATATATCATGGAAACCATTTGAAAACAAACTTTTAAATTGACTCGAATTATATGTCTTTTAAATAAAAGTGTTATTAAAAAAATAACAAAATGATGTTTAATTTCACAAGACGGGAATATATAGTGAGACGGGTTTGGATCGATATTAATACGGACAATATACTACGGGTAAAATCCTATAATTAACAAATCAAAATACAATTATACAATCTTAAACACTAAACTAAACAAATACAACTTAAAATTTTTATTTTTTAGTTACAACGCATGTGATCCGCGGTATACAACAAATAATATTATAAACAATAAATTCATCAGTTTACAAAATGATTTAAAAAATCAAATAATTAACCCGCGGCATACCACGGGTCATATCCTAGTATACAAAATATTTCAATTGACTTCCTCAAGACTGAGACATCTCTCACCTATATTCTTGAAAATTCAACTTTTTTTCTTTAATTTGCGATTTTAGTATCTCATTTTATGAAACCAAAATGATCTGAAAACGGGTGTGATTGGATTTTTCAGATTTTATTGTTCGAGGTTTGATGGTTTTATACTTTCCTCTATATATCTGTTAATTCGAACAAATGTGAATAAAGGATTTAGTTCTTTTCGCATAGTACGGTGAAAATTAAAGCAACAACAAAATACTATTAAAAAATGAAAAAAGGCGACACAAAATGAAGAAAAATATAGAAAGAGTATCATTTTGAATTTTCACTTGTGAAGTCAAAAGGTTTTCTTTTAAAAACTATGAGATTCTCCAAAGGTTCATGCATGCATATACATTGGAGTGTACGGATGTACTTGGGTTATATATATATACAGTGCCGTGCTTACACCTTAAAATAAAGCGGCAGCCACAGTTTATAGATTTGATTTTTAGGCCACATTATTAAAAATATATTGTTGGTTCTGTAGGTTTCAGTTGTCTTAGATATGTATTTTGCTTGAAGTTAAATCCATGTTAGCATAATTCATTTCACTACATAGATTTATATTCTTGAATTTGTATTGTAGTTCACTTTTTTCTTTTCCGGTTATATTTTAGGTTTTAAAAAAAAATTATTCAACTAAATTAGATAGGCCACATTTTATTTTTCGTTCTAAGCCCCAAAGAGCCTAGGCACGGCACTGTATATATATACATTAATATTTCAATATGATACTGTATAAAGTTTTCAAACAAGCTAGTTGATGATTTTTGGAGTCAAACTGTCTTAAACATGATTACATGAGTATATTGGTCCAATTTACACGCATCCATTTTCTATAAGATCGGATATAGTCTCAGGCTTCAATTAGTGCTACGTTTGAAGAAAAAAAAAACACGAAGATGAATATTTTGTTCCTTTTTATTTGTTTAATATTACATGCCATTAATATTATTTATCATCCAACACATATTTTATGAATAAATATATTTTACATGGCATTAGTATTATCATAAATTATACATATTTATGTTTAATAATGGATGATGAATATAAAATATTGATAGTATAACTATAATATATTGGGGGTGCACGATCCATCAATCGACCGACTTGAAATAAATGGAAAGGTAGAGAGTACAGAGATGTACAGTTGTAAGAAATAAGTGGGGGATAGAGGAACCATTATAACATTACCATCTCCTCATTTAATTTTTTTTCATTAAACTCTATATATAACGTTTCAACTTCAAACCAGCGATTTCTCCTATCAATAATGATGTTTATATATATATATATATATATATATATATATATCACCGCCAGAATACAATAACTGTGAATGGAATGTACGTACCTGTTTTTCTAACGACATTTTCTAAATCGGAATTGAATCTATCATAAATTTCATTTTTCTAGCTATGTCGGTTTTTGTACTGTAAAGTAATAAAAGGGCCCAAATATAATTGTCAATGGACTAAAGTCACAACTCACAAAGCATAGTTGTAGCAGCGACTTGAATCTTGATTGATCCACTAACTTAGGTTTACTTTGGAACGACATTCGTAACTAAATTTTTGGTTTGATATGGGTTGGTTATTGTATGCGTTCAATATTAACCACCGGTTAACACTAGATTTAGTTAACAAAGCAACATTTATTTTTCAATAGAGTAAGTAATAGGCTATAGATAATTCCTTCGACAAAAACTAACTCTAAGAAATAAATGACTACGTACTACTACTGTTCAATAAATACGTAAGATGAATAGATTGGAACACGAATTCAGCTTGGAAGCCATGAGATTGAAAGCTAATATTGTCCCTCACACATGAACTTGTCTTTTCTTATATTTCTTTTTAATTAGATGAATGGTCGTGAAAAATTATTAATAATGTTCCAGTCTTTTTAACCGTCCATAATAAATAGCTATATATTGTACGAAAGACATTTGTATTGAAAAAGTATTTTATATATTGAAAACACGGATACAATGTTGGTACCTTTTTGCATTGAAACTCAAATTGTTTTATCCTTTTCAGTTGATCACCTAGTAAATAATTTTTTTTATATGTTATAGTGGAACAGATCTAGCTATTCACAATAGAGTATAGCTAATTAAGTTTTTGGCAAAAAAAAAACAAACTAAGCAAGTTTACAAAACATTATATACATTTTTTTTTTTTTTTGACAGACAAAACATTATATACATATACATATTGAATTTAAAGTATTTACTTCCCTATTCTAATTATTAATATTAAAAAAAAAAAAAAAAAAAAAAAAACATGACACGTTTTTCAGTCCACGTTATAAATAAGGCCATCATGTACCCGAAATATTACCAGTCAAACTGATTGGGTTTTGTTACAAAAAAAAAAAGAAGAAGCCAAAAATCTGAGAGAAAAAAATAACACTCAAAACTTCTGATAGTTTATAAATAACGAAAATGAAATCGACCGTCATGATTTTCCTCATTATCTACCTCCTCCTCGCCGTGCCTTGCTTCGCTAAAGGTATTTTTGTTCTTTGTTTTCCTTAAAACCCTTAAGTAGGATTATTATTTGTATTAAATCGTTGAACTTTAATTAAAACATAATTTAGGATCGGAGCAAACGGATTCAGAGGTGTACGAGATCGATTACAGGGGACCGGAGACTCATAACTCTAGACCTCCCCCGGAAACTTTGCACGGCAAGCCACCGTACATCCACCATAATGCCTCCGCCGCTGGGCTCGGTGCTCATGTAGGAGGAAAGAGTAAGTAGCCATCTCCGCCTTCATTAACTACTCATGTCCCATTTCTATACTTATTTATGGCATTTAGGTAAATATGAGTATTAAATGATGTGTATTATTATCAAATGATATCATCTTAATTCTTCTTCTTCTTCTTCTTAAAAATTATTTTGATCCAATAAAGTAAATTTCTTTTCTTGCATATAAATGGATGATAATGGTGACTAAAACATTCAGTGTGGCGGACCCAAGAATATTTTTTACCTGGGTCAACTTATAAAAAAAATCAATATATGTTTTAAAATATTTTTGCACTTCATATAAAATATATACTTGAACAAAGTTTTCAAACTGCGTTTAAGACATTTTTTTTTATCATTTTTATTTGTTTACAAAGTTATATACTTAATTTGCAAACAAATTGACTTGGAGACTAGAGAAAACAAGTGAAAATAAATAATTTATTTACTTTCAAAACAATTATTGCCAAAGTATAAACAATGGGCTATGGCCCAATAAAAATATAGGGGAATAATGGGAGCAAGAGAGAATTGAACGTGGGTTTAGGTGGGTCAAGACACCAATAACTAACCAATTCAGCCAACAAAACATCATAATTCCTTAGTTAACTGTTTAATCTATATATTTAAGGGGGGTCATCTGACCCACCTTTCTCCTACATGGGTCCGCCAATGAAAACATTTAAGGGTTAATTAATTAACTAGGTGTATATATACGAAGTAATTGCTGGTTGAACTCATGCTAATATTTAATAAACATATAGAAATTGTGATCAATTTGTTTCCATGTATTTTGATAAGTTATCTTCTCCATGTATCAGACTAGAGAGAGACCTTTTCCAAGGAGAAGAGAGGGGACTCAAAAGCTTTAAGTTGAAGATGAAGTTTTACGAGAGCTGTGATATATATGAGTAATGATGTTGGTACAGAGAGTTTTTTTATACTTATTTATCATATGAATTTGATCATCGATGTGTGATCAGTACAGTTAGTGTGAATAATTTACACACTACTCTCCTCTCCTGATGTCATGTCCGGTCCTTTATTTATTTCTTTTTTCAATTCTCATGCACCGTTCTATATATCATTTTTTTCGGTCTGAATCTTTTGGAACTATTTTTTTATTAAAGCAGGGTAATGTGTCACTAAATGAATATCAGTATAATTATTTAACTGTATGTTTGTTTTAAATTAGATATTAATATCTCTACTACTCATATCTTTGAACCCTTTCTATTTCATTTTGGCTGTTCATGGGCACTAAATTAAATACGAATAAATACGAGAAAATGATAAATATATAATAATTTTGTACTCTTCATATACAAAATGTTTTAGATGTTGGTATTACAAATAAGTTTATTATATCATCTATTTTGTATCTAACTATCTAAGTTGGTATTACAAATAATTAAGTTTACTATATTGGACTTTATTATCTTTTATATTAAGAAAATATATAGACCCTCCAAGCATGCAAGGTGCCAAGAATTCAAACACTTATCATTGACGACTGACGAGGTTTATTTTTGTTGTTGTCTATCTTTTATTATTAGATGAAAATTAAAATTGAAAATCGCAAAATTGTTTGTATTATTTTACTTGTCCATGATATTCAACAAATTAAAATTATTGATAGATGATCGGTAATCTAAGACACTGGCTCCATCGGACCCACTTTATCAGAAGTTGACCCACCTTATAATCACTTCCTCAATCATTTTCAATATTTCATTTTAAAACTGGACCATGTGTATTATTTATCACAATTTTTAGCCAGTACAGTACCATTTATTTTTTCACATAAGAGGAAAGTTTATGAATTATGATTACTTTGTAATACAGAGTTATGTTTGATTTGATTTATTTAATGATCTGTCAATGTTGGAGTGGAGTACGATTATAAACATGATTTTTTAATGACACACGAACACGACAAATGTTCTATAAGGTATCGTAAGAAAAGAGAACAATTTTTTTGTTTGGATTGTAAAAGAGAAAAAAGAGAAAAAAGAGAAAACGCGTTTGGCATTTAAAGATTCTAAACTGATTAATGGTGTTTATAATTTATAGTTTGTTATCCCTTGTTAAATTATGCAATGCAAGTTTCGAGTTCTAAATGATACAACTTAATTCTGTGATGAGATATTTATTTACCATATGCCAATATTCTAAGGTGAGTATTGGAATAATGAGTTTATTACTAATCCATTAATACTGGGCTGCCACAAGAAATTCACTATACCTTAAAAGCCCCATTATTTGACTTTAGATACTTCACTATTGTTGGATCGAGCCCTAAAACCCAGAAAGCGTCCAAGCCCGGTTAATGTCCCAATTATAACAAACTTCTATAAAATAAAACTCCATGATAATAAAGTTTTACCATCTAAGAAAAAAAAACATTTGCAAAAAAAAAACTTGAAAATTAATGTTAAGTAAAAAAATTTTATATTATTAAACTTAGTTAAAGAATTTTTTTTTTTAAAAAATAAATCAGAGAAAAAAGTGAAAAATATTTCCTTTTTAACTTGGATAAAAACTTTAAATTGAAAACATTTTGTATAATCAAAATATGGTTAAATATAGTTTACAAAATAAAAATATTTGCAAAAACATAAAACTTAATCTAAATGTTAAATTTACTTGCGTGAAAACGGTTAAACTAATAACATCTATTAAGAATCCGTATGATGGGACGGGATGCTTAGTCCGGTTTGTTTTCAATGAAATAAAATTTAACACTTAAAACCGTTTGTAAAAAAAAAAAAGTAAAAAATCATTTTTAACTTGAAAAAAGAACTTTTGAAATAAAAACAGTTTGTAAAATCAAAAATATGGTTTTATAAGAATAGTTTACTTATATTTGTAAAAAATCATAAAATTAATCTAAGTGATAAATTTACTTATGTGAAAAGCGGATAAACTAATAACACCTCTTACGGAGCTGTAGGATGGGACGGGATGCTTAGTCCGGTTTGTTTTCAATGCATTGAAATGTAACACTTATATTTTTAAAACCGAATATATATTATATAATGAAAACTTTTAAAACATTTGCAAAAAAAAAAAACAAAAAGTAAAAATCATTTTTTAAACTTGAAAAAATAACTTTTGAAATGAAAACATTTTTGTATAATCAAATATATAGTTATTAAAAATAGTTTACATGATAAAAATATTTGTAAAAACTTATAAAAATTAATCTAAGTGTTAAATTTACTTGCGAAAAAGCGGTTGAACTAATAACACCTCTTAGAGACCCGTAGGAAGGGACATGATGCTTAGTCCGGTTTGTTTTCAATGCATTGAAATTTAACACCTAGAATTTTTAAAACCATATAATGAAAACTATAGTTAAAATAAAAACATTTGCAAAAAAAGAAGAAGTAAAAATCATTTTTTTAACTTGTAAAAAGAACTTTTGAAATGAAAATATTTTGTATAGTCAAAAATATAGTTTTAGAAAAATAGTTTACATAATAAAGATATTTTAAAAAAAAACCATAAGAATTAACATAAGTGTCAGATTTACTTGCGTGAAAAGCGGTTGAACTAATAACACCTCTTACGGACCCGTAGGATGTGACGGGATGCTTAGTCCGATTTGTTTTCAATGCATTGAAATTTAACACTTAGAATTTTAAAACCGAATATAATTTGCAAAAAAAAACTTTAGAAAATAATATAAGTATTAAATTTACTTGCGTGAAAAACGGTTGAACTAATAACACGGGCTTACGGACCCGTATAAGAATATAAGAAAGTAATTTAACTTGAAAAAAAAAACCTTTGAAATAAAAACATTTTGTTAGTAAAAAATATAGTTTTTAAAAAATAGTTTACATAATAAAAATATTTGTAAAAAAACTATAAAAAATAATCTAAGTGTTAAATTTACTTGCGTGAAAAACGGTTGAACAAATGACACGGGCTTACGGACCCGTATGATGGGACGGCATGCTTAGTCCGGTTTGTTTTCAATGGCATTGAAATTTAACACTTAGATTATTTGAAAACAAAAATACTTTACATATTTAAAACTTTAGTTAAAATAAAAACCTTTGAAATAAAAACATTTTGTTAGTAAAAAATATAGTTTTTAAAAAATAGTTTACATAGTAAAAATATTTGTAAAAAAACTATAAAAAATAATCTAAGTGTTAAATTTACTTGCGTGAAAAACGGTTGAACTAATAACACGGACTTACGGACCCGTATGATGGGACGGCATGCTTAGTCCGGTTTGTTTTCAATGGCATTGAAATTTAACACTTAGATTATTTGAAAACAAAAATACTTTACATATTTAAAACTTTAGTTAAAATAAAAACCTTTGAAATAAAAACATTTTGTATAATAAAAAATATAGTTTTTAAAAAATAGTTTACATAATAAAAATATTTGTAAAAAACAATAAAAAATAATATAAGTGTTAAATTTACTTGCGTGAAAAACAGTTGAACTAATAACACGGACTTACGGACCCGTATGATGGGACGGCATGCTTAGTCCGGTTTGTTTTCAATGGCATTGAAATTTAACACTTAGATTATTTGAAAACAAAAAATATTTTATAGTAAAAACTTTAATTAAAATAAAAAACGTTTGAACAAAGAAAACCAAAGAAAAAAATTCAAGAAAAAACAGCGAAGAGAAAAAAAAATAACTATGGCGCCTAGCCGAAGTGGGCGGCCGACTCAACTCATTGAGTCACATGGCCGACTAATAATTTTGCAATTAAGAGTTGTTAACTAAATAAGAAGATGCAGATGCTTATATATATATAGGACCAATTCCAAAGACCCTTTCCTCTAACAAACCGATGTGGGACTTTTGTATAACGCCGACTTTCCTTGGGTCGGCTTCAATATATGTCAATCGGCCCAATTAAGTAAATTTGAACCGTCTAAACCAGAACGTAAACCGGATTAACATTTGAACTTGCGCTTTCTGATTTTTGTTAAGTGGGAAATTATTATATTGTCGATGTGGGACACAACATGTCTCATATTTATCGAATTGCAGAAACTCATACTTGAAGATCAAGAAGCTTCTAGTTGTTGCTTGCTAAAGCCCAGACACAGTGAATATAAGAAAGTAATTTTCTTTTGTCCCACATCGAACCATCTGCTAAAGCCCAGAGTGAGTTTGGTCTCCTCTTCGTCTTCTTCGTGCTTTCAATGCCTAGTTTAGTCTACAAAGCCATCGATTATTCCCCAGAAAAAGTATTTGATCCTTGTATTCGGCTCTAATTTCTTCACGAGTTCGCAGTATCAAGTTGTTAGTCTACAGATTCTTGTTCAGGTACATGAATTTGATGAAGGAGGCGTTGCGTTTTATATGCTCATCTAATTTCTGGAGGATGGCTTTGTTTTGGAACATTGCCCTCCTTTTTTCTTACATCCAATTGCTTAAAAAGAGTATCTTTGGCTCAAAATCAAGTACCTCTTCTTGCTCCAAATCCAATCATTCATACACACCTTTTTGTGACTTCACTGGTGTAAGAAGTCATTCTCTTCAACTGCAAAGTCTTGATTTTGCAGTTGGAAGATTATCCCACTTACTATCGATAGATAGAAGAACCTCTTCTTGATGCAAGAATTTTTGTGATTGCCACTTTCTGTTGACAGACCTTGAGTAATATTTAGAGGCAGAATGAGGCAAAGCTTTTGAAGTTGACATGTGTCTTTTCAATCAGTTTTAAAGTTCATAAACTCTCTAGAGCAATGGCTATTAGATTAAGATATACATTCTTCAGTCCAGCTTTTCAATCTTATGTTAGTCTTAATGGCTATGCCAAGCAAGGTTTTCACTATGGTTTCTGAACTTCGAACTCTATTGGTTACACTTTCTGTCTCCATATTTGTCAGGATGATATATTGCTACAAATCATGTCATTTCTTTCTCTTTGACCAAACATCTCTTGCCGCTCCTGAGAAACAGTCATGTGCCTTCACGGGTTGTGAATGTTACATCTTTTTATTCTGAGAAACAATCAGACACTATTATTATTATTCTGTTTGTAAGATTTTGGAATTTCCTTTTTTTTGTTTTGTTTTGTTTGTTGTAGAGCGGCTGATCCAGGAGCAGTAAAAACAAACATAATGCATGAGCTTCCTTCATATATACAAGTCATTACGTTTTGTGGGAGGAGGTGAAAAGTACCAACGGAGGTGGCTGTTGAACCACCAAAAGCAGCTTGTCAGCATTTACAAAATTTCTTTATACATCCCTGTGGATCAATGCTTTTCTGATTAAGTAAATTTGTCTCGGTGTCAGCAAGCCTAGATGAATATGACGACAAATCAAAGCCACCAGTTGTGCAGCAAAGAGGGCGTTTGTTTTAAAGTAACTTCTGAAAATCTCCACATCGAGAAGGTAACTTTTGTTTTTATTTTTCTCTTTATCAGGTGGTGACTCCCTCTCCAATACTGCAAAATAGTCACAACATGCAGGTTTGTAATTGTTTTGAGTTCAACCTGATCAGCTGCAGACAAACAATCAAATGTCAATTACCACAACTATCCATCTCAAGGTTTCTTAATGAAAACAAATAAAATTCTTACTTGCGGTTATGTAGATGCTCTGCCAACATTCCTCTGCTTCTCTACCTCCCTCTGGTGTCACATTACCAAAGCTAACCAGCTCATATGTTTACCCGCTGGTGTATCCAGTTCTGCAAACTAATATTTTGGAAAGGGTATGGTTTTTGCTTCTTAGACGCTACTTCCTTTCTTTATAGCTATTAACGATGAGAAAGTTCATTGTGTAATTTAAATTGTCCCAAAAACAGAATAACATTCTGCATATGATGAAAGTACTCACCAACAAAGACTTGACAGGTTTATTTCGTGCAAACTTTCACTCTTTTTTGTCTCAATTTTTCTTCAGACATTGAAGCTTAATGGAACTGTTCTTCTGGTGAATCAAAGCTTGAAGCAGTATCTATGTAAATGCTTACATAGTTCTCAACTATGCAACGCATATATGTAGATGTGAACACACACCTGCTTAATTAGAGTAAGGGCCAATGCTTCACCACTACAAAACATTTAGTTAAAGTTTTGATTTGATTTATTATATAATGTATTGTATATTGATTGATGTTAGAAATTAGTAAGATTCCCATTTAGTTATGATTATGACCAACCTCCATTTTCTAACATATTTTATTTAGTTATCTAGAAGACTTTGCCATTCTTCTACTCATTCTCTTGTTCCCTTTTTTGTATTACTTTTCCTTCTTTTTTTCTATTATTGCATGGACATATGACGAGATAATAATTTGTATGATTTTGTTGATAAAGACTTACCAAAATCTAGCCGTTAACTTGGACTTGAATTACAAGACTTTTTTTTATTACTACTGCCACAGTTTATATAATTCAAGCCAAACGTATTTAAGCCACACGACGTTCTCCAAGCTAGGTATTTCTATTATGCAAAAATAACATTTTTTTGTGGACGCAAAATGTCAACATTTGTGTGATACGAGTGGTCTATATGATATGTTGGTATGATTACCAACCAAACTAAATAGGTTATACAGTTTATTCTCTGTTCCCACTTGTAGTTAAACTACTTATAGATATGGGACCAATAATCTAAACCTTTTCTCATACAGTAGAAACTCTTATCAAATTCAAAGTAAAGAAAGCGACGCTCACCAAACTTACCAAACTTACTATCCAAAGTTGAACTAGTTAAAGTGTATAATATTAACATTTCTCTCTATTGAATCGAAAATATTTTATACACATTGTTGTTACAAACTGTAGTCTGGACTCTGGAGGTTCCAAAACCAAGAATTATTAAATCGAACAGAAAATATACATATACTTCCAACATTTTTTAAAATTAGTATAAAGTTTTTGGATTTTGTTTATTTTCAATTTACGTACAAAATTGTGCTTCGAATTTTATAATAAATTTGTCATTTGAATAAATATTATTTTTAAACCGATCGATCCTTGCCGACAATGAAGATGTCGTGTTCCGACGACGAAGAAGTCGTTGAGATCGGAGCCAAAACTTCGTTACAGTCCGATATACTGTCTTGTAACGTAAGCAATAACTCCGACGTACTAAAGCTCATTGACGAAGACGGTTTCGCAGTCGGAACTTCCGGCACATCAGCTTCACCAACAAGTATCTGAACCACACTTCTCATAGTGGGCCGAGTTATCGGGTCGGGTTGTGAACAAGCAAGGCCCACCATCAAAACCCGATTCATCTCCTCCGGGTTAAACTCACTCAACCGTTCATCCACCGCCGTCAATAGCTTCCCTTCTCTATACAAACCCCAAACCCAATCTACCAAACTCGATCTCAAACCAGGTCTTAAACCGGGTTCCGGTTCGGGTCGGGTTATGGGTCTTCTACCAGTGCATACTTCTAGAACAACGGCTCCATAGCTAAAAACGTCGGTTTTCTCCGTCGCTCGACCGGTTAACAAATACTCCGGCGCTAAATACCCCATTGTTCCAGCAGCGGCGGTTGCGTCCGGCGATTTATCGTGCTCCGTTTGCCTCGCGAGTCCAAAATCGCCTAATTTCGGATTAAAATTCGCGTCGAGCATGATGTTACTTGTTTTGACATCACGGTGAATAATTTGATTCTCGCACTCTTGATGCAAATAAGCCAAAGCGGAAGCGACTCCGAGAAGGATTTTTCTCCGGTGAGGCCATGGTAACGTCGTCGGAGACTCGTAAAGTGCTTTATCGAGTGATCCATTAGGCATTAGATCGTAAATTAACAAAATTTCGCCTTTTTCTCTGCAGTAGCCTTGAAGACGGAGAAGATTCCGGTGACGGAGTGTTCCGATTAAAGATAATTCTGATAAGAATTCGGTGTTCCCTTGAGAAATATGGCTGCATCTTTTGATTGCGATGATTTCGCCGGTATCCGGTAAGATTCCTTTGTAGACGGTGCCGAATGCGCCGTTTCCGATGACTCTCGATGAGCTGAAAGAGTCGGTGGCTAATTTCAGCTCCTTGTAAGTGAATTCTCTCGGCGATTTCATGATTTCCGATGCGAAAGATTCAGACTTTTGATTGTATTTGATCTTTTTGGAGTAAACCCAGATTATGACTCCGGCGAATAGTGCTAAGAAAAATGCTCCGGCTGTTACTACTCCGGCGACGGCGGCTGGTGATTTTTTACAGAGTTTGTTACGGCAAGAAGACGATGGATCGGCGGTTTTCTTCCGGACGGTGGATACGGATGGTGTGATCGAAGTTGACGACGGAGACGATGGAGGAGGAGAATTAGACATCGGCGGTGGAGATTCCGATGAATCGAAAGATGAAGTAAAGCTCCACCAATCGATACTGTGAATCTCTGTGCTTCCTTGCGTTGATCCAGAGAATCCGACGAACATCGAATCGTTCACGTAACGATCAAGATCGAGAGGAACCGACAAAATCGGCGATTTAGGTCTCACGTTTGAGTAAGAGACGTAAATTGTTAAAACCCGACCCGACCCGTCATAAGTGATCCATGAATTCACGGCGTTTCCGCTCTTGAGATCGATGTCGACGTTTCCTAAATCGGCTACCGCGGCTGAAACGACGGCGTTTAGATCCAATCCCACGTGATTCCCGTTAACGTCTTTGAATTGTACATCCATCAGCGTGTCGAATTCAACCGCCACAAAACCCGACCCGGATCCGGTTTCTTCGGTTAGACCGAGAAATCCACCGGCGGATCCTAAGTAATCTTCATCAGGGGAGATTACGAAAGCTAATCCACCGCCAATTGAGGAAGGATTGAGATTCGTTACCGAGAAGGAGAAGTAAGTGGTGAAGCTTGCCGGTGATTTAGTCTCCGGGTGCCGGAATTTAACCGGTTTTCCATAAAGAGCTTTCCCGGCGGTGGAAGTGGGAACAGAGAGTTCACGAGTGAGCTTAATAGTTCCGTTGTTGAGATGAGCATCCCCGAGAAGCTTGAGACTTGAGAGAGTCAACGTTCCGAGATCGAATCTCGTCGCCGGAAAATCGCCTCTGACGTCGGAGGAGCAGAGGAAGGAGGCAATAATGTGGATGAGAGTTGAGTAAACAGAGAAGAATCTCGGAGGAATTTTCAACATTTGTATATATTTTTCATTGGATTCCTTTGAAACCTGAGGAAGTTGGAAGAATTTGGAGGTTGTTGGGTTCTCACTGATACAATCATACAAAGAAAAACGAAGACAAATCTTTACTCACTGAATCAGACAGAGGAAGACGGAAGACGACAGAAGAGAGTGGGAAATAAAAAGCAGAAGTGAAGAAGACAGGTGGATCTGCTGATTGACACGTGGAATTATGTTAAAAAATATATATGGAATTTTCCAGCGATGGAGAAGGTCCCTCACGTGCAAGCGCGTGTTTGCTTCTGTATGAGAGATCCCGTCAAAAAAAGTCTTTGAAATCTTAAGTAATGTTATTGACTTATGGAACTTATGATCAAAGTACTTCGAATTAAAGCACTTATTTATTTCAGCGTTAGATCGAATTTGAAAATTGAATTCATTAGTTGTCATAGTTTTTTCCGTTTATGAATTTAATAGTTACAGAAAACTTTATATTTATTTACTAGTATTATTCTATGGAAGAGATAAACATATATAACGAACGTTGTGAAAGTTTCATGGCACATGATTTTTTTGTTTGACTTTATGTTGCATATTGTACCCGTTTTCTTCAAAAGATACTCCCTTAAATAATTTTTCCAAAGGAAAGTTCGAATGGATATGATATATATAAATCAGCATTAACAAAGAATACTTCAATGTCTTAATTATTATCTCTAACTAATCCACAAGTTCACAACGCAGCCACTCGTTGTCATACCAGCTCGTGTTGATATTTGTATTCTTTTTTGCTTTTGTCTCTATGTGTATTTCTTTATTTCCAAATGTACTAAGAGACTATTAATTATACTTGGTTGGTAGCAAAATAAAAAGGGAAAAATAATCGACAATCTTATGAGACATCGTGGCACAATTTGAAGTATTATGTCTATCTGACGTATATTTATTGTAGTCAATATTAGATTAAAGACCATCTTTTTTTCATTTACTTAGGCTTTTGAATTTATATAGTCTAAATTTTGGTTGGTGATAAGATCAAATTGAAATCTACTACTACAAAACATAATAGCTATATTTAGAAAGAACAAAAAATGCTGAGCTGTATGTAAAAAGCCTCTAATTATCTTAGGGACTTGGGCCTGATACAAAAAAAATTTGTTATGTGTTTGGGCCTCCAGCCCAAAGTGACTCAAAAGGTTAACATTGTAATTTGTACAAAAGAGTTATCTTTAGAACAAATAGTCAATTTTGAAATAACGTATTGTCAAACTCTTTCAAATATGAATCTATCCGATTCAGAAGAGAAGAGCATTCCGGATGAAAATCAAAGAGCCTCCATAGATTGGCATTGGCATGTTAATGTGGGCTTTATTCGGGGATGAACAACAGATTGTCAAGATATTATAAAGTAAAAGATAAAAAATAGTTAAAAGAATGGAAGTTACAAAAACAAAATTTGATTGCGAAATTCTGAGTAACAGTTTCACAGTTATAGTTGTCACTAATCTTACTATTTAGAAAAATTAAAGGATGTGACGCAAAAAAAAGAAGAAGAAAAGAAGATTATTAGAAATATCGTAGTCATTCAACGATTTATCAATAATCAATCAGACCCAAAAAAAAAAAGTGTTCTCGGATCCTCACGCGTTGACATTTTGCATATTTGGAAAATTAGCTTAGTTATTAGCACGCGGTACCATTGTGAGTGGGGAATGTTTTTACGCGCTCTAGTTCTGAAATCACTTACTATTAGGGTTTCACTTGGGCCTTGGGCTTAGGGCCTATCCTCTTTCTACTATTAGCCCATATTGTGTTTCATACAAAGCAAAGTTAATATTATAGTTTTTTCAAAGTGGGGCTGTTGAAATTAAAATCATGTCGGTCCGAAAAACATTCCTTAGAAAAAATATATCTGATGTAATGTCTTTAATTTATTAATTTTGCGTATTTATTTTTCACTTATTCAAGAATTACAACGAGAGATAGTTAGATCTCTTGCTACGTACTCCCTCCGTTTCAGTTTAGTTGTCGATTATATTGTTTTATTTTAAACGTTTAAATGATAAAAACTCTTTATAATGACGTCGAGCTTTGATTGACTGGTTTAGATTTGAACCAGAGAGAAACCAGTAGCTATATGTCGATCATATTGTTTTATTTTAAACGTTTAAATGATAAAAACTCTTTATAATGACGTCGAACTTTGTAAAATGTTGACCGATTTAGTTTAATAAGACCGGCGTCGATATTCAAATAGAACTGTTACAAAAGTAACAATTAATTAAATACAAGTGGAGCCATAAAAAATTAAGTTTGTAACAATATTGATGCTCATCCTATAGTTTTTTTTGCATATTTACAAATCTTACTATACATAATATATATAGATTTATGGATTTTATTTACCTTAGGTCTTCAATTAGTTTTGGATAGACAAGTTAACCATCAATTTTTGTTTCATAATCGATCTCAGAAAAATCGTTAGTCCAAGAATCGGATAATACCAAATGAAATATTTGCATCCATTTGAAATTCGAATTTTGAGTTTCAGAATAAAATAATTAAGTTTGTATATGCATATAATGTGTGACTATGATTATTATAATAATACGTTTCTTAATCGTAGACACAAACTTTGGATACCAAGAGGGGAATAAGAAAGCATCCAATGGACCAAAAGAAGGCAAACACAAAAGGCCAAAGGAGAGGTTGAGTTGCATTATTTATGGAATTTTTAATGTAATCTAATCTATAATATATGTATTATTGTACTACTAGTTCATTTTATTTAACATTTATACAATCATATTTTTATAAGAAAAAACATGATTAAAAATTATACAGTCGGTCTTCATATATCTGTATGTCTACGTTACTTTTTGTCAAAACATTTTTTTTTTTTGGTAATTAGAAAGTTCAGAGTTCAGACTTCAGACCCAATATATCTTAATATTGTGATGCGTCAACTGTATTGGTAAGTAGCATGTTGAACTAGAAGCGTTTGATCATGTACTAGAAACCCATCGCTGTTAGACTTGAATCCAAAACCATAAATATAATAGACTCATGACAGTCACTATTATCAAAAGGATGATAATAGAAGACTGATATGCTCATGAGCTTCTTTCTATATGACTGAAGATTATTGATGAATAAAAAAAACTATGATTCAAAGGGATGATAATAGAAGGACCAATGTGCATGAGAATCATAGCTCCAAAAAGAGGGTCCTACAGACAGAGAGACAGGCGTCACGGACTGTCCTATCGTCTTCATCGGGAAATGCCAAAAGATCCTCTCTCTCTCTCTCACATTACACAAATAACATGCAACATGCTATGTTTGGTCCAACTTGTAATTATGCCTTAATCATTTCTTTCGATCTATTTCCTTAAAGGCAATTCCCTTTTCTTCTTACTTCCTCGATTGCACAAACCAAAAGAAGAAAAGCAAAAGACGATCACACTTGAATGAGTAAGAAAATCAATTGTAGTCCATTCAAGAAATCAAATAATTTTATTTTGTCCAAGCACATGATCAATCGCAGTTCATATATTTCAGATTTGTTTGTACTCTTTGTTGTGTGCTCGAATTAGAGGAAAAAAACAAATCAATCGTCCATGAATACATGCATGTTCTACTTATAACAAGACTTAGTTTGATTATTATTTTGGCTAAGTACATGTTTTACTACGTGAACTATTACTACACTATGATCATTTCATCGCTTCTGGGTTTATTTATTAGTGACAATAGATGTTAGATTTAGTGTAAATATATGACATTTTGACTTCACTTGGGTGTACACTAAATTACGTTTAAATCTAAATTACTTTTCTTGGCTTTTGTCTTGGAGTAATTTGTACTTCCAATTTTTTAAATGTTTATATGAAAAGTAGTGGAAAAATAAATACAAATTACAAAAAGGCTTTTTTGAGTTCCTAAAACTTTTGGGGAGTCAAAGATGGTGCTCTCTTTAAACAACGGGAACTTTTTGCATCTACCTATATGCTTTGTTCTTGGGACACAGAACATTTTCCTTTGCCAAATACAATTTCTTGGGTGGATAAAATTTTCCTTTTATAATAAAATAGGAGTTGAAACTATGTCCAATTAAATTAATATGTAGATCCGAAACATAGCTTAGTACATATTAACGTAGATTTTTCATAAAATAACTAATAAAGACTATTGTTTTTTTTGTCTCAAACCTTATAATGATTGTATATTTTTTTTGATAAAGAATAAAATGAAATTGTTAAGAAGATATATAGATCTCAATATGCAAGATTTATATTGATACATATATATGTTTGAAGATTAAAAAAACTAATTAATACAATTTATATGTAGAAGAAAACTACAAGTAACATTAAACAATAAAATGCTGAAACTAAGAAACCATTTAAACTTATGACCGTAATAGATAAATGTTGTATCTACAATCATTTTAAACTATGTTTATGTGAATTGAGATTTTAGTTAAATAATGAATAAATCCAAAAATATCCATCAAATTATGTATCAACCATACACTAATTGATGATTATTATTTTTTCAAATAACAATGTCATATAAAATATAATTTAGGTTACATCCCTTAAATATCTTCTCCCAACTTTTAAACACAACCTAGATCATAGATGTACACATAGCACATGCACGTGTGTCTATGTAAACTGCGAGAACGGAAGAGACTGGCCTTTTCGAAGAAAACATTTATTTAAAAGAAAAAATCAATTTCCCTTTTTGAAAATAATTCACTGATCGACTACAGAAAAAAAAAGAAAGGTAGATCTCTCTATAAGTACATCTCCCAGATCTCTCAACATTATTTATACAAAAAAAAAAACAACTTTATTCCTGCAATAGTTTTTTTGGTTTATAATAACAAATCCTCTTTCAATATAATCTTTATATATACATATACTTTCGTGCCTTGAAAATTTCTTCCTCATCTTCTTTGGTCTTTTCTTGTCATTTGGCATAACCAAAGAGTCAAGCACATTCAAACATTCTCAAGCCCTAAAACCCAAAAAAAACTTATATGCTCTTGTTCTTGTTCTTCTTCTCCCCTCTACAAATTAAACCCTAATTAACTATCTCTTTTGTTTGTATACTGTTCTAAACCTCCTGATCATCTTCTTGTTTTCTTGCAAGATTTCATAAAAAAACAAAACCCAGCTGTTTTTGTTCTTGTTCTTTAGCTCCGATCCGTTTCAACTTAAATCACAGATATGCAGATGATTCCAGGAGATCCATTTTCTATTTCATCCTCCATGGGAGGGTTTGTTCATCAAGAAACACACCTTCATCATCCTCAGCAGCAGATCCCTGACCTCAACCCTAATTCTAACCCTAACCCAAATGTGAAACCAAACTCTTCATCAGCCAAGAAGAAGAGAAATCAACCTGGCACTCCAGGTAACTCCTTCCACACCATAATATACTCACATGTATGCCTAAATCTATGTGCATGTGTGTGTATCATATATACTTGTGTATATCTGTATCTCTACATATCGAAACACACATATACGTAAGCTGTTAAGCATAAGACGTTGAAAGTAGCTCCATGTATTTGTAAATCTGCTTTCTTATGAAAATAACAATTAACCAAAAATAGGCATATATATTATTTATTTGCTGAAATAACCACAAACTCAGTATTCACATATGCATATACATCTCTCTATATATTCCTTATATGTATATTTCCTCCTTTTATTGTATTCGGATGGTCATGTTACATATTAATTTGTCTATTTATAATCCCTACAACATCTTTGGAGAGTCATTAGATCAAAATATGCGTTAATCATATCTAAACACATATGTGGACAGATCCAGATGCTGATGTCATCGCTCTATCGCCAACAACACTCATGGCAACAAACAGATTCGTGTGCGAGATCTGCAACAAAGGGTTTCAAAGGGACCAAAACTTACAACTCCATCGCCGTGGCCACAATCTTCCATGGAAGCTGAAGCAACGATCCAAACAAGAGGTGATAAAAAAGAAAGTATACATATGCCCTATCAAGACTTGTGTACACCATGATGCTTCTAGGGCCCTTGGAGACCTCACTGGGATCAAGAAACACTATAGCCGCAAACACGGTGAAAAGAAGTGGAAGTGCGAAAAGTGTTCTAAGAAATACGCTGTTCAGTCTGATTGGAAGGCACATGCGAAAACTTGTGGTACTCGCGAGTATAAATGTGACTGTGGCACGTTGTTCTCCAGGTAATACTTACTTATAAGAGACTAACATTTGGTATTGGTTGATGTATAAGTTGAGTTTGTGCGACATGAAAGTGTTATAGTAATCTATCTTTTTTAGAAATATCGGATGAGAACAAGGCAACAAATTAATGTGAAGGTGTTAAAACCTAAAAGAATTGTGCAACAAACTCTAATAGAGATAGGCGTGTAATATATATCTAGTGTCGGCATGAATGTGTGTGCAATGTCTTGTGATTAGATATATCTGTCGAGAAGTAGGATTAGAGCAGAGCATTAATTGAAGGCATACTGACTTTGGGGGAGCAATATTTTTTTTTAATTTGTTTTTTCGATTTTGAAATAAAAGCTGCATACTTTATGATCAGTATGATATTCGATGAGATTTTTGATGGAGCATCTATTTATTTTGTGTGTTTGTATGTGTACATGTCTATTTGGCTTCATTCTTTTCTTCTATTCACACGATATGGTAAGGATCGGAACTCGACGTCGACATACATATATATTATCAACAAACACATATATATAATATGTATATAACAAGTAAGTTTTATGTTTGTTCTGTCTTCATGTGAATCATGTCGTGAGTTTGCATAGGAGAAATAAATGCTTACTCCGGCCAAGAATGTTTTGTTTTGCAAATGATTTCAAATTCAATGCTATATTGAATCAATGCCCTTGTCTCACTTCTTAATTTAATTCTGTTATTATTTTTTATTTTTTTATTATTGTCATCTAGTTATTATTCAATTTTTTTCGCAAACATAAAACGCTTTCTAATAAATTAATCGATCTAAATTTTATAGGAAAGATAGTTTCATCACACATAGAGCGTTCTGCGACGCATTGACTGAAGAAGGTGCGAGGATGAGTTCACTAAGTAATAACAATCCTGTGATCTCTACGACGAATCTGAATTTTGGAAACGATTCAAATGTTATGAATAATCCAAATCTTCCTCATGGATTTGTTCACCGAGGAGTTCATCATCCCGACATTAATGCTGCTATCTCTCAATTCGGTTTAGGGTTTGGACATGACCTAAGTGCAATGCATGCGCAAGGTACATCACATATCAATCATCTTTCTAATTTCTAAATAGTTATTCATATATATGACTGATCAGTTGTTTTTAAATTAATACTACTATCAATTAAATTCCGTTCAGGTCTATCCGAGATGGTTCAAATGGCCTCCACCGGCAACCACCACCCCTTCCCGTCGTCATCATCATCCCTCCCTGATTTCTCCGGCCACCACCAATTCCAAATTCCAACGACTTCCACAAACCCTAATCTCACCTTATCATCATCCTCAACATCACAACAAACCTCAGCTTCTCTACAACACCAAACCCTAAAAGACTCATCTTTCTCACCACTCTTCTCCTCTTCCTCCGAAAACAAACAAAACAAGCCTCTCTCTCCAATGTCTGCAACAGCTCTCTTACAAAAAGCTGCACAAATGGGCTCTACTCGAAGCAATTCCACCACCGCTCCGTCCTTCTTCGCAGGCCCAACAATGACATCATCCTCAGCCACCGCTTCTCCTCCTCCTCCTCCTAGATCGTCTTCACCAATGATGATCCAACAACAACTAAACAACTTCAACACCAATGTCTCAAGAGAGAATCCCAATCTTGCTCCCCCTCCTCTTAGTGGTGTCACCACTAGTAGTGTGGATAATAATCCCTTTCAATCGAACCGGTCGGGTCTAAACCTGGTTCAACAAATGGGTCTAACCCGGGATTTTCTTGGAGTGAGCAACGAGCATCACCCTCACCAAACGGGTCGTCGTCCCTTTTTGCCTCAAGAACTCGCAAGGTTTGCTCCATTGGGTTGATTATGTGTTTAATTAAATACTGTGTATGGGCCGGGGGACAAGATTTTGGGTTTAATTAGGATTGGAAGTTCCTTTGAGGAGACAAGTCTAATTAAGAACCGTACCCCCTTGTGAAGCGGTCGGAATGTGGGGACAAAGGTTGACAAGACATCATCATATCAATTTACATTGAATGTTATGTACTTTTACTATGTTTTTGATTATCGCCAGTCACATAATATATACCATGACATGCATGGATATGTATTTCCGACGTTGTCGTTTTGTAAATGTTAATTTTTTTTTCGTTTTTGTAATGAGATATTCAAAAATCTGGTCGGTATTATCTTCAGGCTTTTCCAAGTTTGTTTATGAAGATTGCTAATTATAAGTCGTTCATATCATCGTGTGATATGTTCAAATTCAATCTCCACCCGAAGAATGTACGTTAATTCGGAACTCCCTCTAAAATCCTTGGTTTTCTGTTTAAGCCACTCTTGGATTCTATTGTGATGTGATCATTACACTTATACTCTAAACTTAGATATATATGTTGACAATAACCCTACAAAACGTTCCCCAAGAACAGCCCAAAGTCGCTTGAAAAGTTTTCAATTAAAAGTAAACTCAATTTTAACCAATATAATACGTTCATATAACTGTTTTCTTTTAAAAAATAAATATCTTAACATAAAGTATAATTTTATTTTAGAAAACTAGTTGAAACTGAACCACCTTGTTGAAACTTCCTTTCAATAGGTACTTGATCCAAACTCAAGTTCTCGAGATGCGTGTCAATGTAACCTTTGGATTCTGCGGAAATTTAAATATTTTAACTGATACTCTTTTCAGTAGACTAAACAGGCTTTGTCTTTATTTTGACTTATTTCTAACTGCACCCATACAATAATTAATTTAATAGCTAGTATTATTTACCTAGAAAATATAAAATATGTCGTCTTGTGGATCCATGCATTATTCCTTTTTCATTGTCAAACACTATAAGATTATGTATATGTTATTTTTCATTGTCAAACACTATAAGAAATGTAGGTTTGAATTCTTTTTCTATAATGATGTTTACGAAAAAAGTTGAGATTCTTTAATTTAATTATGATGCTTGGCAGAACTAAAATCACAAAACAAAGTAATGGTTATTTTACATAAATTATTATCTTTCCAAAATCAAAATAATTCTGAAGAAAAGAAAATTAGGCGAAAGTGTTGGGCCCATATTTATATCTTTCAATTATAAGGTTGGCCCTTAAGGCCTCAATTCAAATAGGCCCAAGAATCGTAGTTATCTTACGTGGCAGTGTAAGAGCCAACGTGTAATAGTTAGTCTTACGTGTTCAATTATCATTGGTAACTATTTACGAAATTGAAACCTACTTTAAAACATATTCCACGTGGGTCATAGTGATTGGATAGAACAACGTGTTGTTACTAGTTACACTTAAACATGCAAATCAAAATCGGAAAAAAGGCTTCGAATTCGATCGAACAACGATAATCCGAAACACACAAATTTGCTTGAATCAAAGATTCGTCTTCTTCGTTCGTCTCTCTAATCTCTGAAGATTCAAAATTTGTGGGTGTATACACAAACTTCGCCGTGTAAACAAAGTGTATGTATATGTATTGAAAATCGAGAATGGATCTGTTCCGAGTTTGGTCAGGGATGGATTTCTTAGCTTGGAGAGGAATGGCTTACACTCTTCTTCTGCTTAACTTTGTCTTTGCTTGCCAACTTCTTCTTCTCCAACCTCTCGTTTCCGCTTTAGGTATATTTTGTTTCCTGTTGTTTAGCTGATTTGGGAATCGTAGGGATTAGAAATTTGCTAAAAATGGCGAATTGCTTCTATATTTTTCGAAAGTTTTCTCCTTTTCGTGTTGGCGCTTTTTGGATATTGAGGTCCCCTATTATGGTATTGAAATCGAATTTTTGGACTCTGTTTTTGCTTGCTCCTCATTACGAATTGATCTAATTTGAAAACGAGGTTATGAGAGTGAAGCAAGAATGCATTTTGGTACAGATGGTCAATCGGTAGATGCTGCTGAGTTATTTGAGAGGGCTTCACAAAGTATCAAGGTTAAGCGTTTTAGTGATGCACTCGATGATCTGAATGCAGCCATAGAAGCAGACCCTGCACTTTCTGAAGCTTATTTTAAGCGTGCCTCTGTGCTTCGTCATTTTTGCAGGTATAGAAATGGGCAAAAGGTCCTTATTGATTTGGATTTTAAGAGAGAAGTTGATTTCTCTTCTATTTCCCTGTGTTATAGATACCAAGACTCTGAGAATAATTACCAGAAATATCTGGAATTTAAATCAGGAGATTCGAATGCTGAGAAAGAACTCTCTCAGCTTCATCAAGCTCAGAGTGCTTTGGAGACTGCCTCAACTCTGTACGAATCAAAGGACGTTGCGAAAGCTCTTGAATTTGTTGATAAAGTTGTTCTTGTCTTCTCTCCGGCTTGCTCTAAGGTTCTCTTCTTGATGACTGTTTGCAATATATCTTTGGACTCTCTGATCATGCAGTTTCTTATAGTTTACATTTTTTTTTTCATTTCAGGCAAAGCTTCTCAAAGTCAAGCTCCTTATGGTGTCTAAAGACTACTCGGGTGCAATTTCCGAGACTGGTTATATTCTCAAGGAAGATGAAAATAACCTCGAGGCTTTGCTCCTTCGTGGACGTGCCTACTACTATTTAGCAGATCATGATATTGCCCAAAGGTTTGGTCTAACTTCAACCCAATTTTCAGTCAGAAAGAGAGTTTGGATTCAAAACTGATATACTTGATTAAACTCTGTTTCAGGCATTACCAAAAAGGGCTTCGTCTTGATCCGGAACACAGTGAACTGAAGAAAGCATACTTCGGATTGAAAAAACTGCTCAAGAAAACTAAAAGCGTGAGTCCTGTTAACCTCTATGTCTTCTTTTAACACTGAGCTTTAGCTGCCAATTTGTTGTATTAAAAAAATGTGCTCTATTGCAGGCAGAAGATAATGCAAGCAAAGGAAAGTTGCGAGTTTCAGCAGAGGAATATAAGGAAGCTATTGCTCTGGACCCTGAACACACGGCAAATAACGTTCATCTCTATCTTGGACTATGCAAGGTCTCAGTCAGGCTTGGCCGTGGAAAAGACGGCTTAAATAGCTGTAATGAAGCATTAAACATCGATGCAGAACTGATTGAAGCTTTACATCAGGTTCAAATCATTAAGTATTAAATCAAAACATTCATAACTGTTATCGAACAAACAGGGTTCTGATTACTACTTCATCAGAGAGGAGAAGCTAAACTGTTGCTTGAAGATTGGGAAGGAGCTGTGGAGGATTTGAAGCAAGCCGCTCAAAACTCTCAGGTTGGTTAAAGATTAGTTTGTATAATCTTCAATGTTTCTGATACTGTTTAATGTAACTTGGATCGCTTTGTATCAGGACATGGAAATTCATGAAGCACTTGGTAGAGCAGAGAAGGCATTGAAGATGAGCAAACGAAAAGATTGGTATAAGATTCTTGGAATTTCTAGAACCGCCTCTATCGCAGAAATCAAAAAAGCTTACAAGAAGCTTGCTCTTCAATGGCATCCCGATAAAAACGTCGACAATAGAGAAGAAGCTGAGAACAAATTCCGAGAAATCGCTGCAGCTTATGAGGTTCAACAAAATTCCACATTACTCTTTCATATTCACACACACACACACATGGTCATGGTCTCTCTCATTCTCTTGATATCTAACCTTTGAATTGACCAGGTTCTTGGAGATGATGATAAGCGGGCGAGATTTGACAGAGGAGAGGATCTTGAAGATATGGGTGGAGGCGGCGGTGGAGGATTTAATCCGTTTCATGGTGGTGGTGGTGGTGGACAACAATACACTTTCCATTTCGAGGGCGGTTTTCCTGGTGGTGGTGGCGGTTTTGGCGGTTTCGGTTTCTAACTTGAACAACATGATGGAATCATGTAACTTAAGACTAAACGTTTCAAATTATACTCAAAATCACATTTTCCTTTCTTTCATCAAAAAAGTTTTGTGCAATCTTAAATCGTAATGTTGTCTCATTTCGAATCAAAACAATAACACATAACAACACCATCTATAACACAATCTCAATGTACGACAAATTTTAAAGCTCTCGTTGTTATTAAAATTCCCAATGTGGAGACTCAAGGAAAGCTCTCTCTCGAGTTATATCGACAGAGAAGAAGCAGCAGCAATGGCTGCGACGATAGCGATTCTGACCCCAAACCCGAATCGAGTTCTCTCTGCATCAGATGAATCAGTAGAACCTCCTCCATCATCGCCACCGGAAGCTGAGCCTTTTGAAACAGAGCCGCCTTTCTCAGGCGCCGGAGCAGGAGCCGCGCTTGATCCAAACATGGCTAATGGCAACAAAACTTGATCGACCTGATAAACAGCGAGCTGCTTATCGCTGTAGACAGAGTTAGCCACGGTGGCGCTGACAACTCCGGTGGTGATGTTAACTTGGTTACCGGAGCTAGTGATGTTAAGAGGGAATTTACCGTTTTGCCCATCACCAGCTTGCGTGCGTAAGGGGTTACTAACGGTTTGAAACTGAGGCATGGTAATGAGTGTGGGTAGGACATGGAACTGAACAAGCTGAACTTTTTGTTGGTCAGACAATGAGTTCAAGGTTCCGGATTTGAGGCTGTTGAAGGCGTTATCAGTCGGGGCAAACACGGTTAAGCCATTACTCGAGGAAGAATTGAGCTGAGTGTTGATTTGGTCTGAGGCTTGGGTGCTTTTAAGAAGTCTTATGAACAAGGTGAATTGACCCGCCTTTTCTAGGATTGCGGTTATGTTGGTTGGACCTGAAGGGCCTGGAGCTGGAGCCTGACCATTGGTAGTAGCCACGATGAGGAAGAAGATGAAAAGATTAGAAGAAATGAATGTTCTTGAAGTAGCCATTGTTGTAGTTATTGTTGTGTGTGTGTGTGAGAGATGTTTTGGGTTTGTTATATAGAGAGATGTGTAGTTTGGTGAAGAGTAGGATTCTCTTACTAGTGTGAAGATTAGTACTAGGTAACTAAATGAAATTCTTTCAATTAATCCATTAGAGATTGGAAATGTTTGATTTTTGGTTAATAAAGTTTGTTTAAACTGAGAAAGAGAAAGGATGGACATTGCTTTAAAGGGAGAGTTTGGGTGGGTGAGGATTGAAAATGAAGAATGAACTGAAAAGGTGTTATTCTGACCTGTCAAAAAGCTGTGAAGAAGTGTTATCCAAGAAATATGGGATTGCAAATCATACTGCTCATTATGATTTATGTGTCATGTGTGCCTTTCAATATGTGATGTGAGAAAAGAAAACTCAAAAAACAAACAATATG